GCTGACGAGCCCCCCACTGAGGTGACGCTCAAACGTGTCACTGTCACAGAAGCACTACCCTCTCGATGAGGGAGGCACACTGATTCTTTTCTGTTCTTAATTTATACCAGGCTTGCCACGCAACAGGACAAATTACCTCATAACCTAATCTGCTCTCACTCTAATGAAGTGATTTAGTGTGTATGCAAAAAAAAAAACTCACTGTATTAGGTGAGTCTATTAAAAATAAGCCAAAAACAGTTCATGATTATCCACAATATAGATTGTCTAAAAACATACATGCACGAATAAAGTTTCCTCGAACGTTCAGTATGGAGTTTGAAATGAAAGTCAAACCCTATATCCTTGTCCACCTTTCCATTTCGGGATACCCTTATTTCCCCCCAACCATCTACTCCTCTTTTTCAACACGTAGGAAATGCGGAAAGAAAAAACTGGAGCTACTGTCCTGACCCTGAAGACTCTGTCATCCAACTGTATACCAATGCTTTACCTTCCAGAGGCTTCAGGACTTATGTAAGAAGGTGCCTAGCAAAAAAAAACCGGTTTCAGCTCTTAGACGGCGTCGCTATCTGTGCTCTAGCGTCTTTCTGCTTCCTGAAGCGATACGGCGCAGACGCGTCGGTTCCTGGTTCAGAAGTTATACTCTCTCTGCTACCCTCGCTAACAAGCGCGTTCTTCGGGTCGTCGAGCCCCGAAGCTCTCCGCTCTCGCTGACGAGCTTGGAAACTTCTCCAAGGCTCCCATCGGACTGTTCACATCCCCTTTCCGAGCGATGCACTGTACTGTATATTCTACTCTGACTGTACAGTCTGGAGCGATGTTCTATCCGGACAGAATCCAAATGAATTCGCTTGAACTCATTAGCTCTTTCGGTTGAAGCGCTTACTCATTGAAAAAGATCATTTTGTATGTATTATAGGATCGTACAAAGTGATTTGTGACATCAAGCGATACAAGTTAAAAGGCAAATTTACAAAAAAGAAAGGAATGTGTAGCTTTTGTTCCATTATACTGAATACTGAGCTGTAACAGTAACTGCGAAAAAAAGTAAGGAATCAAAGAAATGATTTTTCCTCAGGCATCTACAACTAAGACATACAAGAATTGTTTGTCATATTTGTGATCATGTTCTTTAGAATTCTCATTTAAGAAAATCTTAGTTGGGGTGGATTGCCCATTCATTTTTTATATGTAGATATTAATGTGGAGACGACGGTGACAGTATCAAATGATTTAAAATTCTGTATTTTTTTCCACTGCAAAATGGCGTGTTGTGCCTATGCTGTGTGTACAGTGCAGTAGTGTTTCCCTGCAGCTCTTAGTAAAGGGGCCTGTGGGCTATGTGTGTGGTCCTCTCTGCCTGTCTCTGGGTCTCTGACTCATTCTCCAGCAGCCATGTTGCTACCACTTTTAAGGTGGCAGCCTCTACAGGCTTATGCTAAGACAGGGAAAGAACACTAAACACTGCCCTTCTGTACTTCAACAAGAGTGGGAGCGTTTATCACTGAGGCAGTAATTTGATTTAGAGTGTTTTAATTTAAATTGTTGAAGAGAAACATTGATGTCAGAGTAGAAGATTTACCGCTGAGGAATAAGCTGAAACACAAAACTCAAAGCACTGTTTGTAAACAGTCCAGTTAGACGGTGCCTGTTTAATAATTGAAAAGATTAGTGTGTTAGTACATTAAGTAAACAATGTTTTGTCTGCAAATATTATTTACAAATTCGTTTTTAGCAGGAAAATAAGCATCTTTACTCACTGTTAAAAAACTTTGTTTAAATATTGTATTTAAGGGGAATTTTCTATGTGCTTGTAAGTGTTAAGCATTTATAATTGAAGAATGAGAAAGTTTTAATTTAACCTAATGTAGTTTCAACCACCTTTGTCAAACTATATACTCATATGATACGAGATACATTACCTTATAGGAAATGCGCTTACAGACTGGATAGGTTTATTAATGCATGAAAGGTCTCTCTGAGATTTAAAAATATAGTGATACAGGTTTTTGCTGAAATGTTATGTCATTCTACCTCATGTGTTTAAAACTAGATAAATTAATACCTACAGTTCTAGGGAGATGTATATCCTATGGTCTCATTCAGTAAGTCTTGTAATTGCATTTAACCCAAAAGTTCTGACATTCCATGGGCCAATAAACTTCTTTTCAGGTGCAAAACTATTTTTTATAACTGGGTCTTCATTTAAAGTTGTATTTGATTTTATAGCTCTCTAAATCTCCCGTGCTTTAGCAGTCTAAGATCTTTTTTTAGGATGACAGAAACATTTCTGATTCTCCAAACTTAAAATAACGTGAAACCTCAAGCTCAGCTGTGACAAGCAGCTGAGACAACCACCTTAACTACAATAAAGGAAGAGCGTTTTTTTGTTCCAGCAATACTCTTAAGGACCATAATTGCATGTTTATTTAGGGAAGGATACAAAAACAAAAGAAGTCAAGGTACAGGCCTACTTTAGCCGTTAGGGGCAAAAAAAACCTTTTACCAGTTTCACAGCCCAGGCCAGGTTGCTGAGCATGTGTGTAAGTCGACAGCTGAGACATGAGTGTGCTGCGTTAACTTCTGTCTTTATTAAAGCCTGATGAAATCGCAACAGTGAAAACAACAGTATTTAATAAGCCAGAATCTTATCAATGAGCAGCTGGCATGGAGGAAACTTTTCTCCAATTTGCTGCTTTCTATCCATTTGATTTTTCTGTGGACAGCACTGACAAGGCCATGTGAGAGAACATACCCCCTGGCAGGGAGAGACCTGCCTCTTCAGCAAGGTGGAGAGATGTCCTGACAGACTGAGCCCCGAAGGCAGCAAAGCCCGGGCAGGGCCAGCTTGTCACCTTCTCCCCCGGTTTTGGAAATCCCAGTGGTTAGAATGAAAGATGAGGGAACACCATGTGCAAAAACGAACTACGGTCTCACCTGTCTGCCAAATGCAGTGGAAAGCATTTTTACAACAATCACAGACGGGCAACACATGTTCAGCAAAATTCTGGCAGCCCCACCTGTGTGGTTCGTTTTTAACGCTGGCTCTCTCAGCGTGTGAAACAAGTGCTGGATTATAAATCTACTGACTGCAGTTCGACCGCAGTGTTTTTTCTGCTTTTTAAAAGGATAAAACACTGTAATTGGTCATAAACAAATGTTTGTCCACTTGCTTTAGATTGACTTAATGTGGTGCCATGGTTGACTACCTTTCTAAGATCACAAGTTCAAGTCTAAAACAAAAAATAATGAATCTAAATCACAAAAGAGTTTGGCTACTCCTTCCCTGGATTACTCAGAAAAGCGATGAGTTTGTTCACCCTAAAATATTGAGGTGCTATGCCTGTGACTGTTAATCATTGGGGTTAAGTAAAGGCTCTGGCTGTGGGAATATGGACAAGTGTGGATGAGATCCTTAGACCAATAAGCTACTAATAAATGGGCCAGATACTCCAAACAGCCCCCTCTCCTTTGTAACTTTTCTTATGTTCTCCCTTCCTATCGTGCTATTCCGAAAAAAAAAATATTAGGAGAACTGTAACTCCATTGACTATATTTCCTTAGGGGGGCTAAAGCGTGCTGTTGATACTGCAACTTGTTCTCATCTCTTCAGATGCTGCTAACGTATAAAACGAATGTAATCCACAAGGACTGTGATCTGGAATCTCAAAGAGAAAGAGGTGGGTAGCTCTGATGATAGTTTATACTATACACGCTTCTGAAAAAGGAAAATATCCAGTACATTGAATATCAGGTGCTCTGAGCCTCGCCTGACGCCTGGGTTATTACTGGTGCTGGCAGGCTGGTGTGTCTGCAGGGTTTCCTCTTCTCTGTAACATCTGAAGTGCTGGCCAAGACCATTAAACTGGAGTAAAGCATCCAGGATCCAAGACCATGATTGAACATGTGGGCCTTCTGAGCTGAAAGCTTAAGCCAGTGACTATACTGTGTATCCTGGTGGGAAACAATATTGAATACATCTGTAAAACATAATTTGGAACTATGTAATGAGTTACTGGCTTGTTGTTCATTAAAAATCCCATGGGACTGTTCATAACAGTGGGAGCATCAACCCTGCGGCCCTGGATGAATTCCACTCTGGACCTCCTGTACTGTGTGTGAACATTGGGGTGTTGGGGTGAAACATGCTAGTCAGCAGCTGAGACATGAGTGTTAAACAAATGCGAGTAATTATTAATTCTGCTTAGTTACCACGAAAACCATGTAGGACCATAAAGGTTCACACACAGGAGGAGACACTTGTGCCCACACCATCATTCGTTGTGGTACCTTAAAAGAAACTTTCTCAATTAAATCGGACATGAAAAGCCACTCATTTTGTAAAAAAGTACTTTCTGTAATCAATCCTTAACAGCCTTTACTTCCACAACCATGTCATTTCTCCTTCATGATACAATGTAGCTTCAGCTTGTGTCCCTTGACTTGTGATTCTCTGTTGGCTCTAAGAAAACCACTGGACTGATGTTGGCAAAGCCTATAGGATTCTAAAAAAACATTCCACTTGTGCATTTTTGTGTCCACAACTGAAAAGATCCAGTTCTGAATCTTCAAATGTCAGCAGAGGGCATTTCTTTGAACCCCAGAATGTACTTGGTCACTCTACAGCAATGCCAATTAGCATTTCTGGGTATTTTGACCTTGCAGTTCATGGACTGACAATAGCATATTTATCATTGTGTAAGCTAAACGTTCATCATAGCTTTTTTTTTAACATGTATTATTATGGATATACTATACTATGTGTAAGATATTTAAGAGAAGAGACTGGAGTTCCACAAAAAGAACAGATATACTATAAATAGATAAATAGCATTATTTTAAAAGAAAGCTGCAAAATAATGAAAACAGAAATAAATCGGGAAAATGCGTATGGACAAACAAACGCTTGTCATTCATGTTAAAGCGGTGATTGTTTTTGGTATCCCTATAGCACATTCCTGCCCCATGAAGGGGGATGGGGAGGGTTTTTTGTTTCTGTGGCTCCTCCATGTGCATTCCAGAGACGAAGGGAAAAAAAGGGAATCAGACACTGCCTCGAGAGGAAAAAACAAAGGCCAAACTTTCACCGCTATCACAAGAGTAACGTAGGGCTCCCCGAAGTTTTCAAACTAGATGGATAATTGTCGCAACAAAATGTAAAAAAAAAAACTTAAGCGGCTCACAAGACGGGAGGAAGGAGCTGAACCGTCTACGGGATCAGATTACACTGTTTCAGGGTTTTTTTTTTCATGTCAAAAGTTTTTTTTCTTTCCCAAAAAGTTGGGGGATGGTGAATATCCCCTGTATGTGTGTGAAACGCCGTGAAATGGTTTGCGGAAACAAAATCAGAACTCGGAAGTTTTTCCTCCGGGTTTTGTACTAAACCCTGAACTCGTTTATAAAGAGAATCTGGAGGTAAAAAAGAAGACTGATAAGAAATGATGAAGACTGGCTTAGAACTAATAGAAAGTGAGACGAAGCTGTAAGAAAATCGGAATTTACGTCAATGGCCATTTAAAATGCATTTCTCTGGATTAATTAAACAACCCTGTTATCGTTTTAACTTTTATTTCTTGCGATTTTCAAGGAATTGAAAGCTACTGCAAAAGGGAAAGTCTTGATTATCGCGGATACACGGACCTTGCTCGGCTTCTCTTTTCAAGATGTCTTCCCGAGGATATTCCTTTGTTGAAAGATTTGGGATGCTTTGGGTTTGGGGTGCCTACTTCTTGCTGTCCCATTTGGGAACAGCACAGAAAAATGACACCGGATTTAACGATTACTGTAAGAAAACATCAACCTGTGAAGCTCTAAAATACAACACATGCCTGGGCTCGCCATTGCCGTACAGTTACACTTCTGTGATTCTGGCAGAGGACTCGAGCTCTCAAGAAGAAGCCCTGGAGAAACTAGCCTTATGGTCCGGTAAGGGATGCGTTTACCTTTATGTTTGAGAAGTGGATTCACTCAGGATGAAGTACCTTTACCTTTTAAAAAAAAAACGCCCACCTGCTTATTTTGTGGGTGAATCTTAAAGTCGACAAGTCGTTCTTAAAAAGTGCGGTTTGATGGACAATTCTTGACCAATTACATTAATGTAAATTGCTACTTATTATTATAAAATACTAATAAAGGCGCATTTCCCCATGGACGCCCCACTTGTTACGCTTTATATTCAATAAACCCCAAGTCAATTAATAATGGGCAAACTTTTACAACTTTCGTTGTTGCAATGGATACTGCTAAGTGTACCTGCACTGCAGAGACTCACTAACGCTCGTCATCATGTTGCTTTCAAGTAACTGATGCTGTCAATGGGCTTTGTCAAGGGAGGTGGTATTGTGCGGAAGAATATCTGTACACATTTCAGAGCCGTATCTTCTGAAACTGCTGGATGAGTGGGCCAGATTCTCCAGAATACTGCGCTTTGCACCGCTGTCAAACATATCGGATTGAAGAAAAAAATCAATTTGCCCACTTTGATACTCGCATACACTTCTAACAGATTGGTTACAATTATTTTTTAAAACTTATTGCTTAAAAATGCACTGGATTGAGATCGCTGTCGCATTTGATCACTTGTGCAAAATTAATTGATCATCAGTTCAAAGGGCTCCGGTCCGAGAAATCTAACAGGTGATAATAGTGATGAAGAAAGGGAAAGATGCCAAGTAAAATCCAAGCAGGGCACTTGTTGATTTACGTCTAACCAAGGGATCCTACTCCGGTAGTTCCAGTAAACCGCACAGCTGTAGAATTGGGCGCTAAAGTGAAATGTTTTGAATTAGAGCATCAACCAAATAAATTAGTAATAATTCGTAACAACATAACTGCCGTGTTCCCGTCGTTGTTACAGAGTTCGCAGGCAACTCTGAAAACACAGAATGTGTGTTGCTTGAACAGTTGCGGCAGAAGTGTCTCTACATCGACGTGTGTGGGACAGATAATGATTCACATGCGTGGATTTCATCCATCCTTTTACAGTACAGTATTTATAAACTGGAGTTTGAGGAGTGGCGTCACTGCGTTGGAATCCCTTTCAGCAAGTACACGCACTTGCTGTGGCGCCGCGTTAAACCCGTTTCGGGCTAATGAACCTACACTGCGCGTTTTTGAATCACTGTGACCCACGAACGCATAAGTGGCTTCCATATTACCAGATAAAATCTTTATTTGTATAGCCAGTGAAGGTTGAATCACACGGTTATATAGTTGAACATTTCTCATTAACCCACTAAGTCAAAACAACGCTCATCAGCAAGTTGTCAACGGTTATTTCGAAATACGTCGTTGCCATTGTCAGTATACTCCGAAATGGAAATGGTTAAAAAACGTGCTTCCATTATTTCTAGGGTCATGCGTGTTCTAAACTAAGTTGCGTGGGCGTCATGGTGTCGTTAACAGTCTTCTGATTTGAGAAGAAACTTGTAGCGGTAGCCAGCGCAATGAATAGAGATTTAAAGTCACAGATGTTGCTACTTTTTCGGTTAAGGACAAAAAATAACTTTTATTTTACAAAGATGCTCGACAGTCTCTGCGTCTTTTATAGGATTGTAGACTAAATGCAGTAGATGGTAAAATGTGGAAATCAGACATTAATTCAGATACTGGATACATATCAGCTCCTTATCTAATTTTATAGAGATGTATTGCATAAGATTCAACCCATCTCTCCCACTGTGTGTTTCTTGAAAAATACCTTCATGAAAATCCCGTTTATATTTTTTTATTTTTAACGAATTATTGTTTTGCTACCTAGAAGGTACTCCGTCAAAATGCACATCTTAATATTTTTTAATTCTTTTGCAGTAACCTGCGTTTGTATTGTGACGGCAAATCCCTGAGACCAGGCTTTGTGTGGATTGTACCGTTTCTGTAAAATCTAGATCGGCAGTTCAAGGGATTTTGGCATTAAGACAGACCAAGAAATCCAGACCGCTTTGGTGTGTTGTGCTAACGGTAGATTCATAAATAGTTGGACTGGTTTCATAAACTCGACCAACTGGACTGATGTAATCCCATTGTAAATTGGTGAAGCTTCACGATTGTGTTTCTACAAAAATGCAAGTACTTGTGTAATGTGTTCTCTGTCTATCTTCTGGTCTTCTAGCTTCTCTGTCCCTTTATAACCATATGTACTGTAAACAGGGGATCAATTTTCACGATTATATTCACCTCTGTTCAGTGACACCCACTGGTCACACCGGCCAATTATCTTTCATTCAACTCGGGCTGTTCATGATCGACTCCAAAGTCACCTTCAAAGACCGAGAAGATCGTGGACAGGTGAGCGTCACCGAGTTGAATGAATGGCAATTGGTCTCGCCAGGTCTCAACTTGGTGAGTAAATGTAAATACACCTACTTTAACATTATTTCCAAAAGACCTGTATCTGGTTTTCAGTAGTGTATCAATATATTAGTATTTGTAAAACAAATCCTACACCAGTTATGTAGTTCATGAAAATGTAGTACACACGTCCGTTACTTCTGCAGATTGCCTTTCACGCCATGTTCAGTGATGTAATGTGAAATAATCTATATTAAGGAAAGCATGCTTTTATGCTTGTGTGGCACAGTGGTGCCGTGGTAAGCATTGCTTGGTTATCCAATGGCTTCCATGGTACGTCTGGTACTGGATACTAAATGTACAAAAGTACATATACACCTATGTTTTAAAATAAAAGTTAAAATATTTTTAAAATCTGCATTGAAACCTCTTTCACCTACTAAAGCATTCAAGGTTAAAACATTTTCAAAATTACAAACTGCGTAGCTTTTTGATAGTTTTAACCTTATTCAATAAACCACATTCATTAATCACACTTGCAGTTCAGTAACTTAAACTTTGAAGTTTAATAAGTCTAATATCTAGTCTAATATCAACAATAATATTTTTGAATAAATAAAACTTTTACCCCATAACATAAAGCGATGAAATATATGCGTTATGTTTATCCGGAAAGTAAAAAAAAAAGACCGAATTAATGAAAGACAAATACAGTACATACTAATTTTGCAATTGGTATCAGTAGGAGCAGAATTACGGTTCTGTAGTGCAAGATGCAATCTTGTTTTTTACTTGTTGTGTTCGCTTTCAATTTAACAGATGATTATATTTAAGGTGAATATCCATCAGACGTGTTGGTTATTTTATTGATCATGATAATGATCAATTATCAAAGTGATAATGATTGTCTAGGTATTATATGCTGAGGTTGCAACTTACTAAGTACTCTCGTTATTTTCTCAAAGTACTCATGCATATCCACTCAATATTTCAGGTGGGTAGCTGCGTCAGCATGCGTAGGCTGCAAAGGAACAAGTAACGGCCGAAACGTTGTGTTCTCTTTCTTCTTTTTTTCAGCATGGAATAAACCTATTACTTGTTCCACTCAATATTTCTGTGAGGCCGTTACCTTTCTCTTTGCCATGCTAGTTTATTAACCAATAGTTACCTTGGAAATAAAATACATCCGACCACCCTGCCAGTCATCATTATGGGGGTGGAAAATGACTCGTTTACGATCCTTACAAAAAAAAATGTTTTCGAAATTTGCTTGTAAACATCTATCCAAGCATATTAATAGGGATGGGCTATCATAAATGCATCACAACATTTTGCGTATTACTAGCGCTATTATTATATGACATTTAGTTTTTATATTACATGTATATAATTTAATTATTATTATTTATTATGATTTAATTATTATATGACATTTATTATTATATGACATTATTTTTTTTCCGTAGTGATATACTGTGTAGCTAAAAAAGTTGTATACGTCATTGTAAGCAGCAGCTCCTTTTCAGCTTTTTACCGTGTGGGACATTAGTAATAATGAAGGCGAGTTGGTTCCGTTTCTTAAATTGAATTGAATTTCCACTGGTGCTATTTAGTTCAGGTGTCACCGTTGATCCTAAAAAACTGCATTTCTTTAGGAAAATTCAACACTGGTTTAACTCTGCCAATAGAACAATACTATGTAAAGTGACACATCTTTGAGTTTAATTTCTCTTGTGTTCAGACCCTTTTGGCTCCTATTTCCTTTCTCATATATTTAACTTTGATAATACGTGAGTCATGTTGGTCTGCAGTTATGATTTTGTCTTTAGCTTATTTAATTGTTTCTTCGTGCCTAGTACTGATTTTGATTTTGGTATCATTTGTGAAATATTAATATTGCAAAATGTACAAGATTTCTTCTGGAATAGTATGTACAATTTGCTGCTCTGAAACCCCTTTAGTCTTGAACAGAGATAAGTACAGTATGAGGGGTTCTGATCCTCCACAAAGCCAATGAAGTACCTCTTCAGAATCCACAGTGAAATAAACTTATCTGAGAAAACATGCAAACGTTCTGGAAGTGCATCTAAAACTGAGACAAAACTGTGTTTATAGTTTGTTTTGGAAAACTAAGGCGTGAGACAAAAGCTGAAGGCAAAATAACTTCTAAACTGCTTCAGAGATATGGAAAGTACCTCCGGATCCCTGTATAAATGCACTTCCCAAATGGGATTTTGATAGAGTCCACATTTGAATGCTTGCAAGTGTTTTGTAGATGCAGATCAGGATTAACTCTTGATGTTCCTGGGTGTGGTTTAAAAGAAAATCCTTTCATCTCAATGAAACAGTGTAATGAGCATTCAAGCAGATGCTCACTCTAGGTGAGTTATAATTATAATGCTTTACTGGTTTTGAATTAGAACATTACTGGTTTTGCATTCTTCTAAAATAGAAGGCATTTTATATCATCCATCCTCCAATCAGTGCACTCAAAAATGCTTTTTTGTATGGCAATAATGTTGTCTTATCACCTATATAGTTATTACATATATATGAACACATTTGAAAATTCTCTTTTGATAATAGCAGTCATTGAAACAGATATTGGTGTAATAATAATCCTTCCCCCCACATAGAAGGTACTAGTTCTCAAATAGAAATTAGTGTATGAAGTTTAAAGAGACATCAGTTTATAGGGTTTCTATGAATTAAAGTTAGAAAGTTCTGGTCCTGGTCAGTTGTATAGTAGAACCAATATTTTCAATATGGAACCTGTAAGCATTATTAAACATGTATATCACTGGGTTTGCTCTGCTCACCACAGGTTTTAGGAATTACTTTTCTAGTAATTCCAGGGCAATATGAACAAGATTTGACACCATTGGTCTTGCCTGAGCTGAACAATGAGGCAGAAAACCACTGTTAAAAAACTGACAATTGTCTAGTATCCTTTTTTGAAAGCTGTGAGCATTGATACAGGAGTATGGCCTTGTTCGTTCCCGTTTTTATTTGTTTTTCAGGACAGAACAGGTGAAAAGCAGAGATGTGTGTTTTGGAAAACGTGTGAACAGTTTTAAGTGGGGCAGTGTTATCACTGGGCGCCTGTTTGGCGATCCGTCCTTTTCTCCCGCCGGACTTTCGGCGGCAGTCTGTGTGCTCGTCTTGTGTGCAGCGGTGGTGCGTGACTTTCCCATCTCTCCCTCCCTGCGCCAGGTCTGAGGAACGCCCCCCGGTGCTGGGCGGTGATCCAGCCCCTGCTGTGTGCAGTGTACATGCCCAAGTGTGACAATGGGAAGGTGGAGCTGCCGAGCCAGAGCCTGTGCCAGGCTACCAGGAGCCCCTGTGCCATAGTGGAGCGGGAGAGGGGCTGGCCAGATTTCCTCAAGTGCACCATCGACAGGTTCCCCGTGGGCTGCCAGGTGGAGTGTGTGGATTTGTCATTTCAGTGTCCATGAGCTGTAATATTGTAATATTTTAGGCAGGGTCATCAATACCGTTGCAGAGTTCTGTTTAACTATAGCTTAGTATTTTGCTTGTTTTTTAAATGTATCTGGTCTCCTTGGCGGTGAAAACGTTAAACGTTTGGTGTTGTGCTCTGGATGTTCCTAGCTGGGCATATTTGTATCTCCAATTGATGTTTGGAGAGATGGATGTTACCCCAGAGCTCATCTTTGCTCAGGGGTTCAGATGAGCCTTTCCTCCTCTTATAACTTTTAACAGATAGACATGCTGTACGCCATCACGGTCTCCAGGTGGTTTGAATGGGCTCTAGACGTTCAGAAGCTAACGGAAATACGGGAGGTGGTAGCCAGATGTGTGGTTTGTGGCTAACGGAGAGCTGCTCTGGTTCGTCCCGGCAGAATGAAGTTCAGAAGATCAAATTCAACACCTCTGGGCACTGCGAGTCCCCGCTGGTGAAGACAGACAACCCAGCCAGCTGGTACGAAGATGTGGAGGGCTGTGGCATCCAGTGCAATAATCCGCTGTTCACCGATGAGGAGCACAGCGACATGCACGTCTACATCGCCGTCTTCGGCTCCATCACGCTGTTCTGCACCTTCTTCACTCTGGTGAGTGGTGTGCCCCTCAGCGGCAGAGCTGCTTTCGGGAGGCTCTCTCCAAGCAGGGCATCCCGGGGTGCTTGATGGTAAAAACAGCAGTGGAAGGCATAAGTTCAGCAATGAATCTGACGCAATAATCAGACGGAGTCTGAAAACTCAAGCTTAATTTAGATGATTCAATTGTTCCAGAATTCCTTTGGTAGATTTCCATCTAATTTATAATCTGCGAGCTTCGTTCTGCCACGGTACTTTCCAAAAGAATTCCCCAGCGGGAGACTTATTTTTAATTTTTTCATAAAAGCAAGACACCCGTATTGGTAGTTCAGGGTGAAACGAGGCAGGTTTCACCCAGTGCACGTGTACCAGAAGGTGGCGCTCTTCCTTCTGGACAAAAAACAAATACCCCACTAGGTGGAGTAGGAACATTAAACAATCCGGGCAAGATAAAGATTGTAAGAGTACTCTTAGACATCTACCATCACGAGTAATTTAAAAGAGATGATGTTCTTGATAGAACTCCAAATATATTAGATACTGGCATCTGACAGTGTGAACTGGTTATGAAACACAGCTTAGCCACAAATACTGTGTGCCCTTCTGTGCTGTTTCTCATTCAGTCCCTCTTTTCTTCCATCAGGCCACCTTCGTAGCTGACTGGAAGAACTCGAACCGCTATCCTGCTGTGATTCTGTTCTACGTCAATGCCTGTTTCTTCATAGGCAGCATTGGCTGGCTGGCACAGTTTATGGATGGAGCCCGCAAGGAGATCGTGTGTAAAAGTGATGACACTATGAGACTTGGGGAGCCGACGTAAGTGTTGTACATCTGAGTCCTAGGCATTGGAGGTGCTATATTGTTTTATTTATAATATTATTCTTCAAACTTCTGCTGTCTTTCTTTATCATTTTGATCTGCTCAAAGGGCCCTTCAGGCCTGACAGTACCTGACGTCCTGGGATGTTTGATTTATTCTTTCTCATTCTGATGTGCTAGTGGGGTCTTCTCACCTCAGGTTTTATTCATTGGCCACTGAAACAAAGATTCAATTGAATAATAACAAGTCTCCCCAAAACAAATACTTAGCAATAAGATTCCAAAAATGACCAATAACTAAATTCAGCTACATTTTGTGATGGAAAATTTAAAGAGAGAAAACCAGTAATTGTGATTTATATCCTTATTTTTTTCCATGACAGATGTTCTGGTTGTATCCTTTTTGTTATAAACCAGAAAGATCATTGTCATACCTTTTATATTTATTTTAAGTAATCAACCAAGTACATTCATAGTTCTTCTGAAATATATTACAAAATACAATTATTTAAGGTTATTTCAATGTATCTTAAAATCCATTGTTTGCGTTAGAGGTGAATTTTGAAACTGATAGCATGCATTTCTCGTCTCCTGTCAGGCAAAATATCTGCATCAATATCGTTTCTTTAATATTGCACTGGCGGGTTGGTCTTGCTTTGCAGCCAAGGAAAAGAAATGTGAAAGTTAACTGAAGATTGATAGGTACAGGGAAATAAAAACACACGCCTTCATGAACAGAAGTCAGCAGATTTGTTCCGTCATGATAAAATCTATACCCCATTTTCTAATCACTTGAAAGGCACTGGTGACTTTCCAGGTCTGAGGCTTATATATTTAATTGTTGTCACACAATTCTTTATTAATTAATGCAAGAGCTTCACTGTGTAAAAAACATAAAAGTCAATAATGTTGAAAAGAATACCCATTTTTAAACTTTACTATGTTCACTTTAAAGTTACCACCATGTACCCTGATCTCATCACATCCCAGATGCTAAGAAAGATTGCGCCTGGTCAGTACTAAAGAAAATAAGGTTGCGGCTATAAGTAGTTCAGGTGTAGGGGAAGGTGGCACTCTTTGTTCTGGACCACAATTTTCAAAACAAGGGTTCGAGGTCACCCTGCTGGAACACTGCTGTGTCATGTATCACCCTTCAGATGTGATATCAATCCAAGGTCGTTAAAGATGGCACTGCTTGTAAGAGTAGTAGTGTTTGCCCTGGAATCCTGGCTGAATTCTAATCTGGGACTGCGCCTTGTGGCCTTCTTTAAATTTCCCCCTTCTCTATGTGATCTGCGGTGTCACGGGGCTTCTGGATGTCACCCCAGTGGGAGCTACACTTCGGTGGCGGGTGAAGTGCATCCCCTCTTGTGTGTAAAGCACTGTGAAATCATTTGAAACAGAAAACAAAACTATAAATATATATATGCATATAACTGTAGTGAACAGTGGTTTTGGCTTTAAGGACAGAAAAGATGAGAGTGCAGTCCTGTGCTCTTTGATTAAAATGTAAACCAAGGAATTTTGTGCTCTAGTGTACGCCCTGGCACAAAGCAGAATTAATTGGTAAGCTTTGTTTCTTTTTTTAGGAAAGTAGTGGGCATGATTGTTGTTTTTGGAGTACTAATCTTACTGGATCCTGAATTAAATGCAGTCCTTTCTGTCTACAAAAAGCTCAAAGCTCCTTTCCTTGGCAGTCTGACAGCTCCACGTCTTCATCTAGGCTAAGTGAGTTTGCAGACAAGCAGGTATAGGAGCTTATACACACACATACACGTCAGGGAAAAAGTCAGAGACATAGATTAACTCAGACAGCATGTTGTTGGACTGGGTGAGAAAACTGGAGTGCCTGGTAGAAACTAGAGCTTAGAGATCTTTTTAAAGAAAAATCAAATGTAATTTTTTAGCACATCGCAACTGTACCTTCACATCGGCATGTTGCACTTCAATTAGTTCTTTTACATTCACATCCTTTAGTTAACACTCTCAGTCATTTATATGAAGGTGTTCACAAATTATTACATTACTTTAACGTACCATAAAAACATGAGAATCTTGTAACAGAGAAGAGGTCCTTCGGCTTATCTAGGTTGTTTGGTCGTTAGTAATTAGCAGTTAGTTAATCCAAGGATCAATTCCAGTTGTTTCCTGAAAGACGCCAGGGTATCAGTTTTATCAACATGGCTACATAGTTTGTGCCATACGCTCATAACCCTGTTGATAAAGAAGTGCCCCCTGCTCTCAGTTTTAAAATGTACTACCCCATAGTGGCCCACGTGTGTCCTCTGGTTTGTGTTTCATTGTTCATTTCGGAAGACATTTTCTGTGTTGCCTTTTTCAGCAACTTTGAGGATTTTTACTTATAATAAGGATCTGATCCCCTTGCAGTCATCTTTGCTCGACACTAAGAAGGTTCACTTCCTTCAGCCAGTCAGTGTGATGTCAGTGTCATGCCAGATTGATTAAGTATTGTATTTAATCTCTCCATAAGAGACTCTTTCTTTATGTACAGCTGAGTAAAAAATGGAAGTGAGAATAGACAACCAACAGACATATTGCTAAGGAGGGAGTTTCTTGGCTGTGTGGGTATTGTTGTACAGAATGATGTAAAAGAAAGTGTCAGAGTTGGTAAATGTATCTCCTATGATTCTGTAGCTTTAGGCAAAAGGCTATAGGGGTTTCAAGGGTGGTTAAAAATCATCAAAAGGCATTGCCACTGTCAACCCAATGGAAATTTCAAAATCAACAGTGAAAAACAAACTCTGGAATAATTTCATTACTTTCCATTCAATGTGCTCCTCTCCCTTACAGACATCCTTACATTGTGGTGTCGAGCTGTTGGTGCTGTAACATTCTTCTCTGGCCGCGGAGTGTGAACCTGCCTGTTTGCTCTCAGTTCCACAGAGACGCTGTCATGTGTGATCATCTTTGTGATCGTGTACTACTCCCTGATGTCAGGGGTCATCTGGTTCGTCATGCTCACCTACGCCTGGCACACCTCCTTCAAAGCGCTGGGCACCACTTACCAGCCCCTCACCGGCAAAACCTCCTACTTCCACCTGATCACATGGTCCATCCCTTTTGTGCTCACTGTGGCCATATTAGCCATTGCACAGGTATCGACTTTGCTTTTTGAGATCCATGAAATTCAGCTAGTGTGTCTTTCTTGTGTGTAATGTTGGCCATTTGGCTTCGTAATGTTTAAGATCTACATTCAACCTTGTTATCACTGTGACTTTTCCTCATATTTTATTTAAAAAAAAATCCTCACCTCACAACTTCTCATTGTCTCATCCTGCCCTCCGGTACAGTTCACTGGTAAAGGCAATCCCTTTCTGCGGCGAAAGGGTCATTTCTGATGGCGCTGTTGAGGCGTAACAGTGTAGATGATTTTTTTGTGTCAGATTTCCTTGGACTATAAGTGCTTCACACTTAAAGACTGAGAAACATGCAAGCACCGAGATAATAGCAAACAGCGATTTCAGTAAATCTCAGGCAGGTTAAGAAGCTTGTGAGTTTTAAGCATCTCCTGAAAACCAACACTCCAGAAGTGGGTGTTCCTCACAAAGATTGAGGCAGTGGAAAAGCAAGTCCCTAGGGGTTTTGAATAGAGCTTGGGATGATTGACCGTTGGCTTGGCTAAAGATACATGTTATAATATCCATAAAGTACCCGATGTAAATCCAAGAGTTTAAGAGACAGTCAAGAGACCGAGTCAGTTATGGACTGTAGCTGTGCTTCAGATGCCTTTCTGTGTGTGCAGGTGGATGGAGACTCAGTCAGTGGAATCTGTTTTGTCGGCTACAAGAACTACCGCTACAGAGCTGGGTTTGTCTTGGCACCTATAGGCCTTGTCCTCCTTATTGGCGGCTACTTTCTCATACGAGGTGAGTTTCAATGTGACATTTTGCTAAACATCATTATTGGGAAACTGACTCAAGTCTTGCAGATTACAGTTGGTGCGTTTCACGTTTTTTTAAAAATAGGTACTTAAAAAGATAGGTACATTTTAATTATCAGGCACCCCAGTGCAGAAACACTAGGCAAGACTCTTTTTGCAGCAGCTCTGAGTCCTTTGATTTATGTAACTGATCATCCTCTTTCAAGGTGTGATGACACTGTTCTCGATCAAGAGTAACCACCCAGGACTTCTGAGTGAAAAGGCAGCCAGCAAAATCAATGAGACCATGGTCAGGCTGGGTAAGCACTTCTTCTCATTGGTGTCACCTCTAGCAAACACCTTATAAATGGAGGAGTTAGTAGATTTAAATGCTGGACTGCATGTGTTGAATATGTTTATGTGAGTATGTTTATTTTAATCTGATGCACAGAGATTAATTCAGATGTCTTGGAATGAGTAACTTAACATTTATTCATTCTCTACAGGATATTTCCATTCAGCATTAATTATACTCTCCTCTTGCCAGGAAAAAAAATGTTACAGTGTAATTTGGCTCAGGACAAGCAAGCTGTTGGGTGGCAATTCATCTTCATCTCACATTGATGCAAAGTCTTGAAATGTGAATTACTGTAGAACATCAATCACAGCCAGAGAAAGTCTGAAGTCTGCAGATCTAGTGCAGGTCAAATTTTTTGTGATGCTGCAGCAGCTACTTGGTCTGTACTTAAGTTCTGTTTTTGTCTCATCAGGTATATTTGGATTCCTTGCCTTTGGTTTTGTTTTTATAACATTTGGCTGCCATTTCTATGACTTCTTCAACCAGGAGGAATGGGAGCGGAGTTTCAGAGAATATGTCTTGTGAGTTTTCTTTCAGCTCTTAAGTTCAGAATTAATTAAGGCGTTTCAGTTGTAATAAAAAAAATCAGGTTTCATATAAGCACTTTTGCCTTTCATGCAGTCCTTTAACTTTTGGAGTCGCCTGTCTCACCAGAAAATGTTGCTATAGCAACACTAATCATGCAATTCAAAAACCACCATAGTACATGCTTATGGAACTATTCATGCGGCTCAATTTATTCAGCTGTTTATTTATTTTGTGCTAAAAGGCTGGTTGCCGAAAAATCCCTTGAGTTCTAGTGGGACTGAATTCTGGTTTTGACAGCCATCTAAATCTCACTCCCTCAATAAGCCTTATTGTGAGTTTTTTTCCACTTTTTCAAGCTCCTGTTGAGAAAAGCTCCTTTTCATTCAGTCAGGGAAGATGAAAAACATATTCCCTGCTCACAGGGGAAAAGTACCCTGAAACCTATGCTTCCTATTTCACAGGGGTTTGGACATCTGCTTTTCTCCAACAAAATTAGCATCATAGAAAGTGAAAATTACTTCCTTTGAAGCAAATAATTTCAATGCACTCAGCCTTGCCTATTCTGCTTTATTTTCCCTTCTAAATGTTCCTGAAACAAGCAGACAGACAAGAATGTAGAACCACCACAATCTGTCTTCCAAAGATGCTTTCAAATTGTACCATATGTGCCAATTAGCTCTCACAATTGAGAATATAAACTCAACATTTTTTTTTCTCACACTTTTTTTTTTGGGTGGGGAGCAAAGAGTGAGTACTGAAGCAGGGTAGATCTCGATTGTATTCAATGAAAGGAATAATATTTTCGGTGTTTTCCCTCCCTTTCCAGGTGTGAAGCAAATGTGACAATCGCTGTCCAGACTAATAAGCCTATTCCAGAATGTGCCATCAAGAACAGGCCAAGTCTGCTAGTGGAGAAGATCAACCTCTTTGCCATGTTTGGCACGGGCATCTCCATGAGCACCTGGGTGTGGACCAAGGCCACAGTGCTCATCTGGAAGCGTACCTGGTGCAGGTAACCCACAGTGTCTTCACCACACTTGGCTGGCAGCCACCTCTTGTGATCTTTTCCAGTCTTCTCTCCTTGGCCTTATTGATTTCTCGACACCTCACTTCGTGTTTCACTGTTCTTGTTTAACACTTGGCTCTGGTTACAACATTATTTGCAACTTGAAAAAACACCATAAATCCCTTCATTGTAGAAACAATAAAAACAGGACAAAATAATCCAAAATATATAGTATATTTAAGTTAATATTATGCAGTTTAATAGGTTTTGTGGAAAATTATTTGACCCAAGTATTTGGCATTATACTTATTGTACTCATTTGTAATGTTCCTAAAGAGCAGTCCGTGTAAAATTTAAGTTAAAACAAACTGCAAATGTTAAATGTTTGCTGCTGCAGTGAGTGTTGTCTTCAACTGCTGTTTTCTGTGCTGAAGGATCATTGGTCGGAGCGACGACGAGCCCAAGAGGATTAAGAAAAGCAAAATGATCGCCAAGGCCTTCTCCAAACGCAAGGAGCTGCTACAGAACCCCGAGAAGGAGCTGTCCTTCAGCATGCACACAGTGTCTCATGACGGCCCTGTGGGTAAGAGTTGCCGCAGTTCCCGCTGGCACCTGAGGAGCACAACTCTCTTCTTCAGGCTTTCCGTTACCTTGTCTTCAGCCCGGCCCTTGCAAATGGCGTTACATGCCCAAAACCACTGTTTCACAATCTCATTCCTAATTGAACCCATCACATTCCCACATGAACTAGATTCCACAAATTCTCACTCCTGAACCAATTATCCAACCACATCCCTTTCCTTTCAGTATTTAAACTCATCTCACACACCTACCCATGCTCACTTTTGAGAAGCCTCTTGTAGTATTCTCCTGTGTGTGTTTCTAAGCCTTTTGATTGATCTCCTGGTACCAAATCTTTGCTCCTGCCTTTTGACCACGCCTTTTGGATTTCGTTTTTGGATTGTCTTTTGGATTTCTCTCGTTACCGGGGGACTCTTTGCCTCCCTAATCGACTTAGCCCCTGGATTTCGTCTTTTGGATTGTTCCTGTGCTACTCCCGCGTTCTGTGGGATTCACGGTTATGCATAAGGATCCTTCTATTCTACCTATAGATTCCCTGACAGGTATTATGATGAAGTACTCAAAATAGAGAAAAGCACAGGAAGACTTGGTTTGGATGTTTGAGGGAAAGAGTGGAGTGGGTCAGGAACATCTGGGTCATGTGCATCAAGGTGATTTTATTAAGCGCAGAACTGAAAATAGTTGAAGGCTGCCTGACAATTAAAAAATAGCATGAGCACCTTGTCTTGTGGGACAGCTATGATACGGTACAGGTATTGATATCTGCACCTCCTGTGGCTCCTGGGTTATTAATAGAGCCTCAGAGGACCCTAAGTATGAGAATAAGCTCTGAGTAGTGTGTATTATCAGAATAGCCATCAAGGGATCTTGGATTACGAGCGAGAACCTGGTGAAGCAGCTCTTTCATAGTAGAACCACAGGGCCACTGTCTCTAAGAGTTCTCACTTTTATTTTTAGACCCTTTACCAATGAGACATTCCTATGTAATGTAGTATGGAGTGCAGCAGAGTTTGGACTTCAGTAACAAACAGTTTAATATGCTTGTGCATAGAAGTATTGTCCACACAGTGAACAGAAGCATGCTGTAGAACCAAAACAGCATTTTTGTGTGAGTTATAGTTAAAACTGTTCTAAACATTTTTCTAACTGTATGAATTAAATGCAAAGGTTTGATCTTACCAATTTGCTCAGGTGACGTTTTGCCCCATTGGGTTTAGGATAACTGTGTGTTCAGACACAGGGGAAACCCTCCAGGTTCCAGTCATTGGTTGTTGATGAGGAGAGATCAAGGAGAGTCAAAGAGAGAGCTTGCAGAAGAGAGATTATGTGGCTTGAGCTCTGGGTGTACATCTGAGGACAGGAAATAACATTTATATACCTGTGTGGAATGGAATAGAATTTGCTTTAACAGCTCCTCAGCTTCCTAGGAATTTAAGGAACCAATGTTCAGCATGAAAACATACTTTCATGAGGCCATGAACTCCTGCACATCAAGACTCACATAGCATGCTTTATCACCTGGTTAGACATTTTAATTATTCAATTACTGAAAGTCAGGTCATATTATTCACTTCTGATTAAAAAAAAAAGTGACTGTTATACCTTACATTCCAGACAGTTTTCACAAGTACTATACAAAATCAAGTTATATTTTGTAAAATGCCCTCCACGTTCATATCTTTTAAATATGTTTGTGAAATATTTATGATAGCTTGCTAAAATTAAAGGCATAACAGCCACAGATTCATAACCACCAAATCCAATCACCAACAGTAGATGCAAGTAAAAGCTACAAACTTGGAATAAGACAAAAAGCATGCTGATTTTTTTATTCTTTTGTGTCCCCAGCTGGTATTAACTTTGACTTAAATGAGCCATCAGTAGACATGTCTTCCGCCTGGGCCCAGCATGTTACCAAAATGGTGGCCAGGAGAGGCGCCATCCTGCCTCAGGACATCTCCGTAACCCCCACGGGCACACCAGGTCAGAGAGCGTGTGGTACTCTGGACAGGCCTGATGAAACGTGCCTACTGGAGGACTTTCAGAGCTCGTTGCTCCAGTGCAGTTTTTAGAGAAGAAAAAAAACGAAAGAAAAGCCTAAAACCATTTTAATGCGGCAAACATATTTTATTTCTGTTTTAACGCCTGTGTAAGAAATCTCAGAAGTTACTTTTGGATGATGTCTATGTATGCAGGAATACCCAGAGTATTTGCATAGACTCCATTGAGATTGACAAGGTTATCCTGGGTGAAACTGCCAGAGCTTTCATGACATGGCTCATTAAAGGCTGATGAATGCTTAAGCTAGATACATCACCCTTTATAATTACCCCACTTTAAAAGAGACCTTCATCAAGGCATTAGGGATTGAATAGCCACCCTGGGCCTTGCTTTGGGTGTCTCTGCTCTCAGGGCTGATCATAAAAGATCATAAAATGAATTTCTAGATTCTATGTTGGGCTGGACACCATTAGAGTCACCAATAACCCTTCTAAATAAATCTTCCTCTTGTGATCTGGGGACAAATGGTGCAGTTGAAGCTTCTTAAGAATGCTTAAGGTTAGATTTTCCTAACCTTTCTTTAAGGTTTAAAGTTGAGAATCTAAGTATTTTATGAGTAAGGTGTAGTACTGTAGGCTTTCCTCTCCCTTGGACTATTGCTCGTTCCCCACAGGGAGAGACGGCTCCCCTGATACCCTGGCGGAGCAGTGTGTCTGAGGAACCCGTCCTGTAACTAACGCCCCTGCTGTCTTTTGTACAGTACCCCCCGATGACAACAAAAACCAGCTCTGGATAGTGGAGGCTGAGATTCCCCCAGAGCTGCACAAAAAGAAGAAGAAGAGGAGGAGGAGGAAGAAAGAGGTGCGCCCCCTGGGGCCAATGGAGGAGATTTACGACATGGGGTACCACCCTGAACACGCCTCTAGCGCGGTCCCCCGCCTCCCCAAGCTCCACGGACATAGGAGCCTGGTGGCCAACAGGCGAGAGCAGCACCACGAGGAGCTCCTGCCCGGCTCCTTCCCCGAGTTCAGGCCCTCTGCGCCTCCTCCGCCTTACCGTGAGAGATACCCTGCCACCTCCGCGGAGTACCGCCGGCACGCCGCTCTCAGCCTCATCGCCGGCCCCGGGCCACAGGACGACCCTGGCTTTGCCGGGAGCGGTCTCCTCCGCCTCCCTCCGAGGCAGGGCAACGGAGTGCTCCGCCATTCCACTGGGGAGGTGGGACCCATCCCAATGGGCTCCGGGGCCGTTTCCTGCGCGCCAAGAACTCCGGGCAGGAGGGCAGACCTGGCTCCCATCCACTCCAGGACTAACCTCATGGATGCAGAACTAATGGATGCAGACTCAGACTTCTGACAGAAAAACTTAACTATTGTTGTACAGCTTGAAAGCAAGAAGTGCTGGATAAAACTTATGCCCTATGGGCCCACGAAGAAGGGTAAATCATTATACTCTCAGATGACTGGTTATCAGTGTCTTCTAGTTTGTATAAAAAGGGAAAATAGCCACAGGAAACCTGTTCTGAACACCAAAAACGATATGCCCCTTGTCCCGTACATGGACAGGAGGTTGAGAATATACAGAAGTGTTTCCTCTAGCTTTTCCGCAAACTGTTGTATACAGTCGTAGATTTGTATTAACTCACAAAAATGGATCTCATTGCAGACTTGAGGTCTCTGCAATATGAACAGGAGCAAGGCTGCTGTGGTGCCCTTTCCTCTGACGATGATCTGTTCAATTTTTTTGACATGGCTAGATAACTAAGGTTTAGAGGGACTTTATTATCATCGTCATCCAAATTTGCTTTGAGTACGTCAACTTGAAACTTTGTACAGTTTAATAGGAACCATGTCCTAAACTGTCTTCCCCTGGATAGCACACACCATTTTGCTGTTCTTTTACCGGTTTGATTGTGCAGACTGAAGAATGGTGCCTCTTATATTTTGTGCAGTGAAGAAGAAAAAGGTTCTGTTTTAAGAACGTCGATAAAGATTATAATCAATTTTAAAACATTTAAAATCAATTTATTTTAAAAGCCAGGAAGGGGAGTTCTGTTTAGATTTATTAGATCTTAATTTAGATGTTTCAATTGATGATAATCACGCACGTAATTGGTGTCTTTTTTAATTCGTTATTTTTGGTGTTCTTGGTGTCAGACTTTGAATTCTCCGGAACTGTCTGACACTCGTGGAGCTGATTCGGTAAATACACCAAATGCCTCTGAAGAACAATATAGGACAGGAGATAAAAAACCATCCTGCTGGTTTCCTCGTGTGTGCTCAATGACAACATGCCTGACAAATACAAGGTCATTTCATTTTCTCAAAAGCTACTGCTCGTGGTACCGCTGTGTGTGTGGTCTTCCTGGAGCTGCAGGAGATGCAGCTGTGTTTTTTTGTGATGGCAGTTGCCTGATGCCAGGCCACATTAATGATCATATAACAACCATGGAAGAGGAGAGAGATTAACTCTTGTTGAGAGCTCAATGAAGACTGAGGCACAGCAGCTCTTAGACTTGTATTTGTTTTTAAACTTGCAGTGTAATCCATTTCATGTTGTATAATATAAATGTTCTATCTGTATCATTTGATAGAGAAAGGGTTATTTTTGTATGTTAGCGCATGTGCACCTGTGCTTTTAATTATTGTATAGTCAGCTAGTTTACATCAGCATCACTCTAATAGTGTTATTTAAGCTATGTTTGGTTGTGGTAGTGTTTTTGACAAAATGCTTTCTACTTCTGTGAAAGCGCACAGCTGTGAGCATTTTGAACACTTACGTTTTCATTTCAGCTGGGATGATTAACCTCGCTAGGTTAATCCAGTTTGATAATCACCTTTAGCCTTTTGTTTTTGTGAAAACAAGAGAGAGTCTTATACGGCTTTACTGTTTTGCAACTCACAGAGTACCAGCATGGTAATGGGTATTGTCCACTTTGGTGACTAGTTTATTTTTAAAAATCACTAAAATGTGCATTGCTGTAGAGTAGTTCAACTGATGATTTAAAAAGGTGGGTTATGTATTTGATTTCCTAACACTTAGATTGGGGACTGCACAGTGGTGGTTAACATGCAAGTGTCATCCCCATGTTCACTAAGATTTTTCTAATTGTCCCAAACTGGGCACTTCTAAATCATCCCAGATGTCCCTTGACCCTCTCAGGCCTGCCTGGTGCCATGACCATCACCATGTTAAACAGCTTTCTGGTGTTAGGTTGATGCCGTAATTCATTTAGTTACTGCAGGTGGAAAAGCACTGGGGCATTAAAACAGATTACTCTGCATTTTATATAAAAGAAAACTGTTGTACTTCTATGACACTACAAAATCTAAAGTTTGCCACACATTGGTATCATCCAGTAGTACCTAAGGTGATGGGAAATCACATATTTTGGGTTTCATGTTTTGTCACCCCATTTTTCTTTAAATTATTAGTGATTTTTCACCCAAATTATATCTATTAGTCATTAATTAACAGGTTCCATCTCTCATAAAGACTTCAAAGTAAATCTCTAATGGACCTTGCAGTATGTTAACTGTATATATCAGGAGTTTCCACACATGATTTCACTGTAGGTCTGTCTGCTAAGCTTGCTATTATTATACTCAAATTTCCCACTGGTCCTACAGCCAATTTTAGTTCATATGAAGTGAACAATCCTAGACCATTAGCACAAGCAATTTGTCTTTCTGGAAATAGAAAACCCCAAGTCGTCTGCTTTGTCCTGATTGAATTGGGGTCATATTTTGTCTTGGGATCCTAAGGAACTGTTTCTATATACAAACCATTTTTTCATACATGTACATAATGTATTTGGAAAAAAGACACCCTACAGAGGTGAAGAGGGGTAGAGGGGTTGGAGCTTAAACAGGTCTATGGGATGGGCAGTTTGGGTCCACAATTCAGGAACCATGAAATTTAATTGGAAATATAACTGCTAAGAGTATAGCTGCTCTAGGAACAGTTCAATCACGCATGATTGGAACAATTCAATCATGCAATGTCGGTGTTTCTTAAATTATCATCCCCATCGTGAGTACAAGCCTTTTGTTCTGTTTAGTATGCTGGTAAAAAGTGTTGATTTGAAGTGATATGGAGAGCATAAAAGCTGTCAATTACTCAAGAATGTAAAATGAGACATCAAATCTGTTTCTTACCTGCTGCTCTTACTAAAGTCTTTGTCTTCTATTAATCTTTTTAAAGATGATTTTTTTAATTCACAGCATTGTTTAAAAGCTATCAATCAGTTGTATTTTTGTATGTGTAAATAAAATCCCCAAATTTAGTTTGCACTGCTGTTTTTTTCTATTAAACAGTAAAATTAAGCTGCAGCCATAGAAGAATAAAGTGTTGCACTTATGGAACTAGAATAAGTGTTCTAACTAGAACACATAGCTCATTGCTTATCCTGGAGAGCTACAATCCAGATGGTCTTAGAGGTCACTGTTACATGCTGGCAAAGTACCAAGAGTATGACCCAGACAATGCAATAGAGATCAGTAGTACTCTTGTTCTCATCTTGGAACTCAAATATTAACACAAAGTCTTCAGTCACCGACATCTTGGGCAGCTTCGTAGTGTGACTCTGTGTTTAGGCTCAATTGTCTCGGGTATCTGCCTATAGAGATGCTATCCCACAAAGTCCTGGTTCATGGCACTGTTCTGGCTACCTCACACTGCTGCTGAATGGGAGCACACGTTTAAACACAGAGGCGTCCAGCTGTCAGGTATCATGATCTTCAGGAGTGACATCTGGCTCCTTTGAGACGTTACTGATGCTCACAGCCTGTCTCAGTCAGCTTTAAATCTTCAGTGTTTAAAACGTTGCACCAGTTGAGCTCGGATTAGAAAAGTAATGGTTCAATGAAGTCAGGAATAGCCCTTTAGGGTCATTGAAAACTGCAGGATGCTGGTATTTTCATTTCAGATAATTTCTAAAGTATTTTCTATTAGGACAACAAAACATTTTAAGGGTCTTGAATTTGAGGATTTAAGGTTTTTCGGATTGAAACAGATTGTTCTGAAAATAGCTGTCGAAGACAATTGCTTAATCAACTGTATTTCTGAGTGAGATGGCAGCTTTTCACCATCTTTTGAAATACCCAGAGCAGAGGTGATTTTCTTTTAAGTTTGTATTAATGAAGAACAGAAAAATTCTGAAGTGATTTTGCAGCCGACTGATACCTACAGTAAACTGATAATTAGCTGGGTAATAACACTCAAAATTTTCATTTCCTGAGGGCTATAAAAAAGGGAGGAGAAGCAGCCTTGTTTGTTGGAAATACCACCATTTATTGAACGTAAAGGTAAAACAAGCTTTGGAAACTTTATGTATTTGTTAGTTGGACTAATAATGTTATTTACTTTCCTGGAATAAATCATTTGGATAAAGAGACAGTTTTGTCAGATTCAGTCTATACTGGAGAAATGTAATAAGAAGCATCAGACACAGATGTTCCTATTTGACATCAGATTAATTAAATTAGTTTTCCCTTAGTTCAGCATTTTCACTGAGGCTCACCCTTTTCCCTCTAATGTAATTTTATGCTGATACAAGTGGGTTACGTTACAAACTTTTTGCACACAAAATCAGCTTCGTACTTGTGGCCAGACTTTAATTTGTAAATATCTTCAGAATTTTCCCTAAAGGCATTATTGCTCTGAAGTAGTACATCTCCAGAGACAAGGGAATAAAAAATGTGGGTACGTGCTTTGAGACATCTTTCCATAGGTTCCCCCTATGAAGAAAAAAAATCCTTACACTTACAGTATATAGCACTTTACAGGTAATGGGGACTCCACTCCACCACTACCAATGTGCCTCATCCACCTTGGTGACCTGACAGCAGCCGAAGAGCACCAGTACTCTCATCACACACCAGCTATTTGTGGGGAGGAGAACATAGTGATGAAGCCATCTTCATCAGATGGTGGATGATTAGGAGTCCATGACTGGTAAAAGCCAATGGGAAATTTGGCCAGGATGCCAGGGTTACACCCCTACTCTTTTCAAGAAGTGCCCTGGGATTTTTAATGACCACAGAGAGTCAGGACCTCGGTTTTACATCTCATCTGAAGTACAGTGCCTTATTACAGTAGGTGTCCCCATCACCATACTGGGGCATTATGATCCACACAGACCAAAGCGTGAGCACCCCCTGCTGGTTCCACTAACCACTTCCAGCAGCAACTTAAGTTTTCCCAGGAGGTCTTCCATCCAGGTACTGACCAGGCTCACACCTGCTGAGCTTCAGTGGGTTGTCAGTTGTGAGTTGCAGAGTGATATATGCTCAAAATGTGGTCCTAGCTTTCTAGAAACATCTTGAAAAGAGAATGTCATGTAAACATATTTATCAGGTAAGGGTTACAACAGTCCATGAAAATAGACCATAAATATTGTGTCTTCAGAGGACTCAATAAGCTACAGGAATGAAAGGGTGCCAGGGTAACAAATTCTAACAATTCAGAACAAATCCTGAAGACCTGCTCCACATTAGCAGTTGAATTTTAACAGTTGTCAAGTTTCTGTCTTGAATGAAAGGCCAGATACGTAAGAATTCATCACAGAGGGAAGGGTTAAAATAGTCTTGTATTTATTGTATTCCCTGAACAATGATTAAAATTACTGCTACAGTGTGGGGTATTAAAGAATGAATAGACTGGATAATCAGGCTTAGGAATATAGTCTAATGTCAACCCACAATCAAGTCAACCATTCATCAGTGATCAGAGAATTAGCTGCTTAAACCACCTATTAAAGTCATCATGAAACTTTTCCACACTGTTCTGGAGAGATGAAAGTGATGAGCGTGTGCTGCACACATTATTCTGAGTTTCTTCACTTCATCCTATTCCAGGTTGTGCAAGAGCTGGAGCCAGTTCCAGGCAGGGTACACCCTGGACGGGATGCCAGTCCATCACAGGGCATGTGATCATCACGGTTCCGCCCGCCGCCCGTTCCTTCCCGCACACCTAAGGCGCGAATGCGGGTCTCCGGCAAAACGCAACAGGGCACCAACCGCGTGAGCTAAAGGAGACCTCCGTCAGCCCAGCCACCTGAGGTCCCTGTTACACGCAGTGAAGGCGCTAACGTCACCGCACTAGCTCCGCTACAGGCACACACGGACACAGAGACAAAGACACACACTCCAGGACCACTTTTTTTCAGAAGCCGAGTAAGCTACCACTATGCCTTTGGACTGTGGGAGGAAACCAGGGTACCCAAAGGAAAACCATGCAAACTTGGGGAGAACATGCAAACTCAAGATAGCACCCCAGTCTTGAATTGAACCCGGGACACCAGCAATAAGTGGCAGCACACTGCCCATTAGTTTACCAGTTTCTCCACATTCTTTAGTTAAATAAAGAATTTTCTATTTAAATATCTCATAATAATAATTGCTTGCATTTTACATATTTTTTCATCGAAAGGGGCCCTAGAGCACTTCACATATAGGAGATCCACTTCGTCCACTAGTGAACTGTAGTGTCCATAAGGGCGACACTTGTTCTGTACCTGCAGTGTGACTACACATGGGGAGATTGATGCACCAGCTGAATAAAGGTACACCGTTATGTAGGCCAAATTATTCAAGCGTGATTTATCCCGAACACTGTTGTTAATAACTCCCACTTTCAGGAAAAGCGCCATGAGATCGTTTATGACCCATTAGTGAGCACTATTGTTTTAACTTCTCATTTGAAAGATGGGAATGGAAATTTCTTGACTGCACAAACAAATCATGAGACAGAAGACCTAAAGTCGCGTTGAAGAGGAAATGTACACATCTTCGGCACGTAAGGTATTTAAGGTGCCTTACGCGGCCAAGTCATGACGCTCCAGTATAGTCCTCCTTTCGCCTAGCTTTCCCACTACATTTCCCACAACGCTAAGGGGCCTGCGCTTCCGCAGCTTTCACACGGTGCTGCTCTGCTCTGGCTTTTAACTCGCAGTTGTAGATGCGTTAACGCGAAGAGACAGTCTGTTCGAGAATTTGTGGTTCCAGGTTTCAGAACATTAAATGGGAACTGAGAGATTGTAACTGTCGTTCACTGAAGTGCTGAGATGCCGTCGGATACAGACCCGCCGCGAAGGAGGAGATACACTCACGAGACTTTCGGTGTGAGATTTTATGTTTTATTTTGTGTTACATATACCTTTTTTTTTAACTTATTTGTGTGCTTTAAATTTGCCAGGTGTGTGTTGTCGCTGTATCATTACTAGGGTGAGGATACCTGGGGATTGCTGGAGTTACACCTGCAGAGTTGCACCGTTGTCTTTCAAGCTTAATGAGAGGGTGTCGTTATTCATTATGATATTGTCTACTACTACTGTTTTCTACTGCTAAATTAGTTTGGAGAACACGAGTTTAAGCTGTTTCATAAGGAAGTGAGTTGGATCTATCCCGGGTTAGATTGCATGTCCGTGGAGTAATCCTGGGTAAACACACCCCGTTTGGAAATCAGGGTTTATCCGAACTTCGTCTGATATACTCTTATCCCCTTGTCTGTAATTTATTATTTGTATTAACGCTCTAATTCAATTAGTAGGCAAGAGTGTTAGTCGTGTTTTTAAATCTGTGTTCCTAATTTATTAATTTTAATGTATCCGACAGTTTATTTGGTATACCTAATACAGTGTCCCTATTTATTTGTTAATCTTAGCATTCTTATAGGTTCTATTTCGTGTTGGGTTTTTGTCGTGTCTGTTGTTAATATAACCCCTGCTGTAGCCTGTAGTTGGCTCAGAATGATTTTTCATTTTTGTATAAGAGAAAACGGCGTTTTATCTAGCTAATGTTGGATTGCAAAGGCAAAAATAAAAGTGAGTGTTTTAAAAGAAGGAGAATCTGTTAATCACGCTTCCCACCTTGTTAATATTTGTGGAGTGAGCGGTTTTGTCTTCACTATTGAACCACACACATACAGTATTCAGCGATTTGACTGTGCAGAGCGCAGTCTCGGTTATAAGAAAACGCTCACCTGTCCCGGCTGGAGTGACAAGTGTTCTCACCTGACCGGATCCTGGTGAAGTGCAATGTGTACATCTGGGGAAAAAAATGTATTTAAATAAAAAAGATGGAAAAGGCTTTATTGGACAAATCATTTGAAAGTACAGAACAAATTAAAGTGATTCCAATGGGGTAGAAACTAAGTATTGACCTGTTTTTTAACATTGTCATAGGATGTGTTTTTGTGTATAGCTTAGTTTACAAATTTTAGCATCATTTGTTTTACTTAAAATTTGAGAGTTTTTGAGCCTTTAATATGCAACCTCTTTTTTGATGTGGGTATGTGGATGATTTCACTTCTCATCTGTGTATGTGCCCTGTTATGATGTTGGATCTTCAGTCACATGAAGTCTTAGGTTAACTGGGCAGGAGACAGTCCTGAAAAATGCTGACGTCATTTTATTTGAAGAAAGGCTAGTTCTTGTTTTTGATTTTTTTTTTACGCAATCATGGCATGCAACTGTGGCAAATGTTGTAATACAAAGAATAAATTCGTAAGGCAAATAGACATGGCACTGTTGAGGAAAAAATAATGAGCCTGTGAAATATCTTAACAAGCACAAAAACACTGACCCAAGGAGTGTTTTTATTTAACAGATGTGATGGGAACAGTATTTACTCTTAGTGGATATAGAATTGTGCTTTCCTTTCACACACTAAATTTGATATTAGTCTCTGTTCTGCTGTCAGCATTGTTGAGGTCTTTGGACTCTACTTATAACCAGGGTTGTAGAAATTAAGGAAACTTGCATAAGTAAATTGATTTTAATACAATAATAACTCCACTATTTTATTTGCATTTGCCGTTTCTCTATAAAATATGTTATAAGATTCACACCTTAAATATCATATAAGGTGAATTAGACAAAATGATCTGAAGGAGTGAATTTGCACAGTGAAATGAAATTAAATTAAGTGATAAATTAGTACTTTTATCACTTAATTGCCATGGCACAGCTCTGAAATTATCTTCATTTTAACACTTCCTAGCAAGACCTTATAATGGGTTAGGTGCTGGCTTAGTGTGTTAGCAAGGAAAGTAACAAAAAACAGGAGTTCTGTGAGCTTTTGAAGCTACTGCACACTTTCACTTGTTAAAATAGTCAGAATTTGAGGAAGATCAAAAGCAGTCTTTTTTAGAAAGCAGAAGGAGAAGGATACGTCTCCAGGCCATGCTGTTAAGGAAGTTTGAATCAGTAGATATTCAAGAAGAATTCTTTTAGGCAGCAGTAGCTGACCAATAACTTTTGAATGTTTTGAGATGTCGGCAAGACTTTTTCTCTCAGGTGTGGAAAAGCTCCTAGCAGCACATTCTTGTGGAGTTTCACAATTATTTTTGTGTTTAGGCAGTGTCATGAATTAGCAAGTTTATTTGTACTCTAGTTTACTATTTGCTTGAACAATTCAGTTCTTGAAACATTCGAGAAGTACTCAGGAAAGGTGAAGCAGTCCATGCCTTTGAGAAACTGTATTAAAACACATCCAAACACGCGTAAGATGCCATGGGTGTGCAATGTTACACTGTGTACTCAAATCTAAATGAAAGGGCAAGAGGAAACTAAAAGTTAAATTAGCTCAAACCTCTTACAGAAAGTGTTTTAAAGCTTTGATTTACAGATTTAATAGTATGATTGGATTCACGGTAAAAACCTCAACATATTTCAGAACACTTGAGCAGAAATAATGACCTTAGGTGCACCAGACTGTGTCAGCAATAACCTAGCAAGATTTCTCTGTCTGGTGAGTGCAAATTGTGCCCCAGTGTTGTTAAACTCCTATTCAATGTTTAGTGGAAGTATAGTAATCTTCTAGGTGAAGGATAGTAAGATGTGACCTAAGGAGACATTTAGTGCACTTTATTTTTCTCTTCACGAGATTAAGACTTATCTGGATTTCATAACATTTCATACAGTAATACCAAAGACATATCTTTGACTGTATTAAGTGTTCTGCATTGAATACTAGATGATCCCTCAGCTGGTGCTTGACACAGTTCTGAATGTGCTGTATGGCAGTGACATGTCAGAGCAACACGGAATATACAGTACAGCATGATCTGTGGTCGATTGGACTTTGCCAGTGGTCACTGTCCCCTTTCAGTTGTGTGTTGTTTCTAAAGCATGAGCGACACTAATGCAAATGTGTGGTAAAGCTCTTACAAAACTCAAAAAAGATCAGCTGATAGGCTCAGTGTCAAGAGAAGAATCAACTGTTCCATAACTACCCACTAGGATGTACTTAGAGCAGTGTACTTGATTAGCTTGCCCCCACAGATCATGAGGGTTTTGCGGAACAGCACAATAATACTGATGATCCGATCTGTATTTCCAAGCAGAACACATGAGCACTGTGCTAGACCTAAGACTGGACACTGGAACCAATCTCTAGAGCTGCAACGGACAGTGATGGTCTGTAAACTACACAGCTCTGCTGTTTATGTTCATGCCCTTGTCTTAAATTGCATTTATTTTTAATATAATTATTATTTTAAAATATAATAATAAGACAGCATAAATGTAATTTCCTTCGTTTTCATAACATTACAGTGTTTTGTTAGGTGACAGTCCTGTTTTTAGTATCTGGTGTTCTAGTTTTCTCTGAGAAATGGCAGGAGAACAAGTTTTGGTGGGACAATGCATCAAGCTCTTTTATCCCAGGAGAACCTTGCAGATTTAATTACATGCTCTAGTTCAATTTCACAGTTTAAACTGAGGCTTGTGATGGGTATGCGTGGTCTGTTAGTCATGCATTTACATATAGTGCGCAAGAGGACAGAACTGCATGTTTTAGGTTTCCTTTCCTTCACGGAAAAATCAGTTTTGCTTGATGTTCAGTGGGGTTGTGTAGTTTGGTCTTTATGCTGTTTAATTAATTAAAGCTAGAAGACCTAAAACAGACCAACACTGTCTCTTGGACCACAATTGCAGTGCTATTCCCGACAACATCACGGGGCTCCACGTTCCTAATAGGGAAGGAGACAGTTTGATACACTGGCACTAAGCGTTTCCGTATTTAAGATATCCAGACGTTAAAAGGCAACATGTAACTTCTGGGAACTTAATTACTAAATAAACTGATTTGTTTCATCAACATTTTCATTGTAGTTGCAAATGACTTTTCTACTTATTTTTTATTTTTCGCTTCTTCAGCACACCGTTTACTTTTTTTAATCAAGAGTATTTTTCGATTATTGCTGAAAAAGTATTCTGAGGTCGTGGCTACACAATCCTGAAATTGCACTGTGAGTGGAGCGTGCTTTGTAGGACTATGCTGCTTGCCGCTCCTGAAATGAAGAGCGCAATAACGTGTATTTTAAACGTAATTTGCGGTTCCGATACAGGAGTTTGAAGCATATCTCTGCTGAGAGAGGCCGGCCGTTTACGTGCCCCCGTGACTACAGGCCCTTCTCACGGCAGGCGGTGTACTTGCAGAGTTTCCCCGGGACCTGGAGCACCGAGCCGAGGTGCAGCACCGCCGGGGCTCTCTGTGTGACCGGCAGTGCTTGTCCAGCCAGCACCCCGACCTGACGGACACGTACTCGCCCACCGGCTCGCACCAGTTCGGCCCCTTCACTCCCAGATTCATGGCCGGCCAGGGAGGTGGGTGGCACTTTCAGGTCCCCGTTTCTTTTGCTTTTCCAAAAGAGCCAATTGCTCCAATCCTGTGGTACTGTGTTTAGCTCAGTCAAGTCAATGGGAAGTCTTTTTAGTTCAACTTAACATTCATGTCATCAACGATACACTTTCAGCTCTCGAAGTGCTTTTTCAATGTTTCTACTCTGTGAACGTGCTGCATATAGTGGTTTTACCTCATGGCTCAGGTGTCAGACCATTACCTGTTTTTAAAGCCTGACTGACAAGTACAGGATTACAAACCCGTGACTGGTTTCTTCCAGTGCACAAAAATACAGTACTGCTGATGGAAAAACAAATGGTTCTTCATGGATAAAGGAGCCGGCAGAATCTGGTTTGTTTCCAGTCAGACCAGATTTGTCTTAAATATCCAAGCAGCTTTACATAACATGATATATATATATGAAAGAAAGTATTCCATTGATGCAGGGTACATCCCATTAGACTTAAAAGAAACCAAAATAAAATAATTTGACTGTCCTCGGTTCCATTAACCAGAGTCCTGTTGTTTTCTTGTCAGGAGGCACTTCTTTACCCAAAGAATTGAAGGAGTGTGGAACAGCAATCCAGTTATGTTATGGACTCCAGTGGTTTGGATTCTTTCAAAAAACGTTTGGATGAGTTAGCTATTAGCAACCCAGTGAACTAGAGGGGCTGAATTGTTTCTTTGTAAACCTTCTAATGTTCCCATGAAATTGTCTTCCCTTGTTTTTGTTTTCCCCTGCAGTACAATCTTCCATTCCTTCCAGATGTTTGCACCAGTCTGGAGATATACAAGGGTGTGATCGCTGTTCTACCAAGACCACCCTCACTGCAGAGAATGAAGTGGAAGCTCACAGGCTAGCCAACAACTACAGGGTGCATTGATCGGCGTGAACTATGAGTGTGATGCAACAAACCTATTTCTTTACAAACATTTCTTTCGGATTGACTGTGAGGTTTTCTGACTGCTAGTCATGATTTCAGACCTCTTGGTATAACCACAAAGTTGTAACTTTTATTTTCAAAACAGGTCTTTTGAAGAGATTTTATTTAAAAAGAAGTACTAGAACTGGTTCCATTTAAAAGTCCAAATTGTATGCACACTATTCCTGAAATGAATGGTGAACAGTGCTAAAGACAAGGCATTCCTTAAAAAGAGTGAGGAGAGCTGTGCAAAATATCTTTTTCAGAAAGTTGAAGATGGTTTGCGTAATAATACAAGCAAACTGCAAAGTTTGATAGAATTTGCAAATCTTGGTGACAGTCTCATGAATATGCAGGATTTCTTGCTTTTCACATAAAAGTATCAACCTTGTTTTTCACCTTTGGGTCCCCATCTTCCTTCTTTCTCATCACTGCACATGACACACTGCCCCAGTTCACTGCCAGAATTCAACAGTCCAGTAAGTTATGGATGTCATCTCTGGGGGTTTGGGGCTGGTCAGTAGATGGCAGATCTCTTCACCCTTTCTTGGCATGTGTGACCTTAGTGAGCCGCCGGAAACTTCTGGCATTTGTGTTTGGAAGGGATCGTGATGCATGCACTTTTTTAAGACGTGGCTGATGGGTTCCAGTTTTGATGGAGAGGGAAAGTGCACAGAATGACTGCAAAATGACTTTTTTTGTAAGAAATGTATTTCATACATTATTTTCGATATGACACCCGAAGAAGGCTCCACAGGTTTCCTTTCTTCTCTTTTCAGCATGGAATAAACCTTTACTTGTTCCTTGTTAAGATCACTTTATTGGCCATATACAATTTCTTGTATTAGGAATTCGTCATTTTGCATACCCCAGCTTCCTCTCCATGAGACACATAGACAGGGAGGAGAAGCTTGGGGTCAGAGCGCAGGTCAGCCATTTATACGGCGTCCCTGGAGCAGCTGGGGTTAAGGGCCTTGCTCAGGGCCCCAACAAAGTAGGATTTCTTTGCCAGCTGTGGGATTCGAACCGGCAACTTTCCAGCCACAGGTGGAGATCCTTAGCCACTGCACCTGATATAATATCTCAAATATTTTTATATATTTTTTAATTTCAATGCATAAAGAAATTCATAGCCCTCAAACTGAATGTATTTCAGCAGCACCTCTGTGGTTGTGTTGAAAATGTACAGTACGCGTGTCTGTTTGTTTGTTAGTTTGGCTTCAAGAAATGGAAGAGTCATGTGACAGAGAGGCCCTGGGAGGACAGGTCGGAGATTGTGAAAGAACTGTACTCGGAGCTCAACCTCATTAGGAGCCCCACAGGTAAGTAAAGCTCAGGTCCTTTTAAAATCCAGTATTTGCTCGAAGTATGGAAATTGGTTGGGACGGCTGTAGTGCTTGTAGAGAGGGCTCTACAAAATTCACTGCTGAATTTAACAAGACTAACTGGCATCTCTATCCAAAAGTCTCAAATTGTTGATCAAGGCATTTATGTGAAATTTCTGAGGATTAAAGTACATCGTAAGGGCTGATGCAACTGGACATTTAATGGCTGTTGTGTTGAAAGCTAGTCAGACTAGTCTAGTTCACAGTTTAATCTCAAAGGCTTCTCTCCTTCTTTAGCTTGTGAACTATTCATATACAGTATGTGCAGTGTCCTTAGGATTTAAGGATTTCTGCTTTTTGAAAAGCAATTTGAGCAAATTATTAATTTCTAATGTTGCATTTATAGATTGTACAATAACTGTACATTTCATTTTTGCAGGTTCTTTGGTGACATGTGGAAATGTTACTTATGTCATTTTGTTCGGTTGGTGGATATCTTTAGCTTATGCATTTATTAGCATTCTAATGTTTCTCACAGTAATTGGAGCACAATATGGTAGGTACTTTCTTGTGTATTTATTTTTCGCTTAACATCCGTCTTGATGTTAATTTTGTTTTGGAAAGTTTAAGTTTGAACTGTTCCTCTTTCTTGTTTCAGGAAAGCTTTGTTGGAAATTAGCTTGTTTTTTTCTGTGGCCATTTGGGAAGTCCATACAAAAGGTAGCTTCTGAAGTTTTTTTTTTTGGGTGTTGAGTGTAACCCCCTTATTTCTTTCTTTCTTTCTTTCTTCCAGCATCACCCTGTTTCTCACTGTTTGTCATTTCTCCTCTGATATCTCAATCCTGATGAGAGCTCTTTATATACTTTGAAAAAGAAGAACATCCTTTTCTTTGTTCTGACATACAGTATCACATGCTCCATAGCACTACAGCTTACCTCTACTGCATTGTCACTGTGGTCATACAGTATACAACAAGAGGTCTGGTCTGGCTAAATACAGTTTGGGGAAAAAATAATAGGTCTGTGCTGCATGCATTATAAAGGAACCTATGATCAAAGTTTAGTGTGTTATGTTGTTTAAGAATATTTTTGTATATGTAGTTATAAATTAAGTAAATAAGGTTACCATCATGGGCAGGTGCTTTTCTCCTCTGCATAAAGATAGTGTTGTCTAATAAGTGTGGAGGTGTGAAACCATCTTAGATGCAATGTCCATCTCTCAAGATGACTCTGCTGCTCAAATGTTATCTTTCATGCTTTTCACTTTTTACATGAAATTAACCTCTATGTGCTCCAGAATTCTGTATTTCTATATTGCCTTCTGTTTCATTCTCCTCTTGGATTTCTGCAAATCTGTTATTTATTATTATTTTTTTATGATTAGTTATTTCTGTTCTTTGCTTGCCCAAGCATAAGAGAGGTTACAAACAAGAGGTGGGCATTCAGCCCATCAGGCCTGTTCGATAATTGATCCACAAGTTTCCTATTGAAAGAATTCATTATATCGGCTGGGCAGGCTGTTCCATACTCCCACAACCCTTTCAGTAAAGAAGTGCCTCCTGTTCTTGTTTGTAAATGCACTTCTACATGGTTTGTATTGCACGGTTCATTCTTAAGAAAAGCCCGGGGTTTGACAGTGCCTTCAAGGACTTTGATTATTTGGATCAGGAGAGATGAAGACTTGTGTGCATCAGCATGTCCCTGACTCCTGTGTCATGTGGTCAACCTGTGCAGCACAGAAGTGTTCAGAATCAAAGGCGATGTGTCCAGCAGCAGAGAGCTTTATATGGCTAGCCAAATCCCCAAACTCTTGCTCATGCACCGGTTGAGTCAGTTGTGTGCCACTCTTTGGAAGCATCTCAATTTCCCTGGATTCACAACAATAATCTGCAAGTTCCAGAGCACTTTGAATGAAATATGTGGAGTCCCCCAAAGGTTAGCTAAAGCTGTAGCACCAGATGAAAGGTTTAGATGATTAGTTATGTATGTACTGTATATATTTTTTTTACTTGGTATGTCCTTAAATATCGATGCAGTATCTTTGATGGTAGTATGCTGGTGTCAATCCTGGGAGCATGAATCTAGAAAACCCTGCCTTGAGGACTGATCATTTATGAGTCTTTTTATTGCTTGTCTTGAACCTCTGCAGTTCAACAACCCGTTCAGGAAGTGCTGTATCCGGTTCCCTGAATGCGAAGCCATCCCAGAGGTGGACGAAGTAAAGGAAACTTCCCCCCTTATGCAGTCCAAGCGGCATGTTCCAGTCTGTTCACGGAGCCCAGGGCCCAGTGAGCCACGGTACTGGGTAAGCCTGGCCCAAGTCCTTGTGTTAGATTCTCTCTGAACGCTGCTGAGTTCAGTGCTTCCCTGGCCAGCTGAATTCTGCTGACAAGGCCTTCAGTATTGTCTGGCCAAGCAATACTTGTCCCAGTAATACCTTCCCCTCTGCTGTTATCATTGCCATGTAGTGAAAATCAGAACTGGGCCAAGTTCAAGGAAGAAGAAGAACATCCACAGGTGTTACCAGCAGCAGCCCCTGAAGCTCAGCAGGTGTGAGCCTGGTCAGTACCTGGATGGGAGACCTCCTGGGAAAGCTATGGTTGCTGCTGGAAGTGGTGTTAGTGGGGCCAGCAGTCTGTGTGGGTCCTTATGCCCCAGTATAGTGATGGGGACACTATACTGTAAAAATAAAAAAGACACCGTCCTTCGGATGAGATGTTAAACTGAGGTCCTGACTCTCTGTGGTCATTAAAAATCCCAGGGCATTTCTCGAAAAGAGTAGGGGTGTAACCCAGACATCCTGGCCAATTTCCCATTGGCCTTTACCAATCATGGCCTCCTAATAATCCCCGTCTATGAATTGGCTTCTTCATTGTTCTCCTCCCCACTGATAGCTGATGTGTGGTGAGCGTGCTGGCGCACTATGCCTGCCATTGCGTCATCCAGGTGGATGCTGCACATTGGTGGTGGTGGAGGGGAGTCCCCATTACCTGTAAAGCGCTTTGAGTGGAGTGTCCAGAAAAGCGCTATATAAGTGAAAGGAATTATTATTGTTGTTGTTGTTACTAAATGGTTAACATTTCAGTGTCATGCATATTTACTACATTGTATAGCCTTTCGCAATCATTTCTATGCATTTCGCCAAAATGTGCGAACGTTAATAAAACAAACCATTTTTTAAAAGACAATCTGATGCAAATTATGTTTTCCTAGACACTGCATTAGAGACTCAAGCATTAACTACAGGGGTTTATCTTTACGCAATGTGTTCTTTAGCAGCGTGTGAAGTGATTTTCCGCCGTGAGTGGAGTTGTCAGCTTGTTAACTCCGTGACTTGCTGTTCCTGAGGGCAGTGTTGTGTGAGAACATACGTTTGGCTGCTGCTGGGATATCCCTTCCTCTTCCTGATCCATGCATTGGCCTCTTTCCTCTCCTGGATTCTGGTCTTCACCATTCCGGTGTCCAAGATGAACGCCAGGACCATCAGGACCATCCTGCTCATGCCCCCGGAACAGGTTTCCATCCGAAACCTTAAAAGGGTAACAACCGGCATCATTGGTATTATTTTAACCAGGAGTGAGATGGATCTTGACTCTAGGGCACTAGAGGATTTTTAAGTCTTGTGTAAAATGCTGGTGGATATACTGCTTCTGTACATTTGAATCCAGAGCAGCAACAAGTTGTCAGATGATACTTGTTGAAGACTCTTGTTGTACTGCAGCTTGAGAATAGGAGACACTTACTGAACTGGTTAATCCTCTTTAACTTTTTATCCCTCTTTATTTGAATTGCTTCTGTAAGTTATTTTGAAGGACAATATCTCTTCAGCCCAGCTTCTTCTCCTCTCTGGCTTGGTCGTAGTGTTTGTTCATGATTCAGATGGTGCCCATGTTTTGTGACTGTCGTCCCTCTTTGGCAGAGGTCTGTCACAAGTATGTCTGATAATGGTTTGAAAGGAAAGACAATGTACAATTTGCTTTGTGTGTGAAAAGAGTTGACCCTTACTACTGCAGAAGAGTTTTGTGGTTTCTTTGACATTCATGTAATTTTTTAAGAATAAAATGCTATCCTAAAATAGGCATTACTGCATAGGGACTCATAAGTGGTGATGTCCACTTTTCATGACGTTTAAGGATACTTTATATCTGTGCTGTAAAAAAGATTCCTAAAACTAAACTTTTTTTTTTCTTTCCCACCACAGACAGATGTGAGTTCTGAGTCTGAGGTGATCCTGTGCATTTATCGTGCTTTTAACTTGTATTACTATAAGTATACGGTAGATGGGATTAATGTGTTTGCTGTCAGTATCCTTTGCAAACTCCCTGTAAGAGGATCTTGAGATTTTGCCAGAGTGTGCCAACAGACCACATAAACTAGAAGACTTAGGACTATTTGTTTTTCCAAATGAACTATTACTTGCACATGGGGAAGTGAAATAAGATATGATACTGCAGCCATGTCAGTAATACTGATGTATTGACACATTGGCCTTTGAATAAAGTTTTCTGAGCAACATTGTAATTTTCTACAGCACAAGATCATCTATCATGCAGGTACGACCAATACAATGTGGATTCTAGCTACATTATTGTGTATCCGTTTCATATCTTAATGTAGTTGTATTCTGGTTTTGCAGTGGGGGCATGTCCTGTTTTTTCTTGCCTTAACCCTGAATAATACAGATCTTTTGCCTCTTGTCATCATCACGCTTGGGATTGGCTATGGGGACAGGGATAACCAGTATGCCAGCTCTCCGGTGAAGTTCACCATGGCCCTGGTCTCCATCGTCCCACTGTCCTATTTCATTGGCATGGCCATCGCCAGGTGATGCCCCGCTGCCTGTCTCTGTGTGTGGGAAGGGCAGGGGGGCACTCAGATTAGGAGAACTCGAAAGTGAAGCTTTGTTTCTCGGCCTTAAATGATGTGAAACTTTCTTGTGGGTGGTGTTAAGTATTGTAAGCATACCATAGCTGTGTTTTTTGTCCAGTTGAATTAGGTTAATGAAATTCAGGACATTGGTTAAATAACTTTAAAGGTTTTTACTTGCTGCAGAGTCCCACTCTTAAGTGTTGCCTGTATTGATGGACAGATGCCTTTCTTTGAAAGCACTCATTAAGTTTTGAGGAGTGAGTTTAGGGTTCAGAGTGAGTCCTGGCAAAGGGAATTATTTTCCCAGAACTAAAGGTGCAACTTCGGCCCTTGTTCCTTTTGAAATGCTTATTTTTACAAAAAAATGTAGAAATAACTAAAGGTTTACCGTTTTATGATGCCATCTGTGAGTTAGTTAATTCTCCTTCTGGGTAGGAGGTGTAGCGGGGAGTCATTTATTTATGCCGAAGTACTTGCTCTCCTAGTATACAGTACAAGATGCGCAGAAGCAGTATCGGTACACGACAGAGACTGCTCAGCAGATGTGTCTTTTGCCTGGAATTCAAGTGGCGAGACCGCTTTCAGTACAGAGCAGTGATTTCAGTTGTGTGGACTGCCTTATCTTTTTACTTCATCAGTATTTCAGCACAGAGTAGCTTTGCAGTGGGTGCAGTGGTGAACGCCACCTTCGGCTCCGTCATCGAGCTCACCTTCTACATCACGGCCCTGATTCATGGCTACCAGGAGCAGAACAAGTGCTACGAGGAGATTGTGAAATCTGCGCTGACCGGGACACTACTTGGCTGCATTCTCTTCGTGCCTGTGAGTCTGGTCTTTGTTGACTCATCCTTCAGTGGTGCGTTTACATACCGTTCCTTGTTGAGGATCTCCCAACAGCACGTCTTTAAATTATAACTCTGAAACACACCTGTGCAAGAACAGTCTTGTATGCAAATACAAGGTGCAAATGTTAAAACTGAAGGAACAGGTCAAGATTTATTCCTTGCTGAAAGGAAAAGGAACAGAACGTTTTGACTGTGGAGCCTTCTTCGGGTGTGAGGGAGAGAGGGAAACGAGAAGAGAAATAACATCAGGGAGAACAAAAGACAGTAGTTAAGAAGAGCTGGGTAGCAGGGGAGAAAGTTACAGACACTCAGGGGGGACAGCAGAGGAGTGAAGCCAATACCTGCAAATAAGTAGAGAGGATTTCAAAAGAGACGAGTCTGTCATTGCGAGAAGGGGGAAGGTGTGATCCTAGTTTGAGGATAATTTTGGTATTCAAAATAACAAAAATTGTCAACATTTTAAATTGAAGGCATATATTAACTTAAACATGTGCCCATTTCCTTGTATGCATCCTAGCCTGGGTGCATGAGCTACATGCTTTATTCTCAGCTAAGATTTCGCAGTGTTTAATCTCTGGGATGCACTGGCTGTCTGATGGTGGAAAACGTGATGTAACAAATGTGAAGGGTGTGTGTATTGTATGTGTGTATATATACTGTAGCTTCTGGATTGCTGGATCTTTTGATTTAAAAAAAGATACCCTTCCTGTTTAACTTTCAGAAAATCAGTCTTTGGGAGTCATTCAATGAGTTATCGGCTCGATTTAAATCCTTGCTAATGGGATCTGTAAAATCCCCGTGTTAACACTTGTCTTTCTCCAGGGAATCTGCATGATCATTGGGGGCTTGAAGCACCAGGAGCAAAGGTTTAACAGTCGCTCTGCAGGGGTCAGCTCAGCTCTGCTTTTCATATCGGTTGGAGGTGAGAGACTTGCCTTTTCAGTCATTACAACACAGTGTCCCAGTACCAAGCATTACTATAGCGGCTATACTGCTGTGTGCCTGGTAGTGTTAATCATAGGCATGCTTATATTTAGTCGGCTGTCTCTCTGCTGCAACTTAATTGCCCTGGACCCTAAAACAGCCTGGGAATCAACATGGAATCAAATTCTGCAATTTCCATGGCGACTTGGGTACTGGTGTGCCAAGTGTGTCTCCATTCAGGCTTGTACATCATAAGATGCTCACTTCCTACCTTGCCCTGAACACCAACACTCTCTTACAGCACTGGGAACAACAGCAGGATCAGAAAACCTGCACCCCACTCTAACAGTAATTTTTACATTGCACAGGAGCAAGACAAGTAGAATTCCCCACTGAAAAGCAGACAGAAGATACGCAACATGTCCAACCTGAATGAGGGTCAATGTTTCCTTGTGTGCATCCTAGCCTGTGTGCATGTTACTATATTCTGCTTTTCAGAGTTGAATGAACCCTTACGTGTTCCTTTGCAAGCAGTGCACACTGACAGAGTTACACACGTAAACCTTTGCATTGCATGCACCACTTTCAGAACATGTATAGCAAAGTGGACTGAAACAGTAAACATTTCTGACTCTGGCAAACAAAAAAATAAAATTCCAAAGTGTTGACTTGTACAGTGAATTTGCGAGGGAAATTATTTGGTTGATGCTGTTATCCAAAGCAAGTTATAAAGGCAACAATCACAGTGCCTATTTTAGTATCAGTTTGTACTGTATATCAGTGTTCAATCTTTGCAAAGCACCTTGCTCAGGGGTACAGTATCAGTGTCCTCAACTGCGAGTTGAGCCCTCAACCCTCAGTCAAGGGTCTGGAGTGCGAAGGGTTACTCCACACTGTCGCCCTTGTGTTGACTTCTGTCTGTTTTTGTTTTGCTCCACAGGGGTGTTTGCTCCCACACTCTTTTCCAAAGCCTATGGGAACCTCATCTGTCAGGACTGCACCAACTCGTCAGACAATGGTACTGGTCCGTTTGTCTGCATGGACTGCCGTTACGACCTGGTACGATTCTGCAGTCTTTTGCTCCTCTCATATAGGACTGAGCTTTGTACAAATGCAATTCAGAGTTAGCCAGGAATGAAGACGGATGCTTACAGTTTACAAACATAACATGATGGTTTTACAGTGTCATTTTACTGAATAGCACAAGACAAAGTGGAATATTGATAAAGAGTAATCTTAGAACTCATAAGAATGTAATTAAGCTGAAATATACAGTCTGCTTTATTTTAGTTATAGTAAAGGTAATATTTTAACCCCATAATTTCCTGTTTTGCTTTATATGTTAACTTTCATATACTGTACAGTATATCAATTTATTTTTCATACATTACACATTCAGAGCCTTAATAAATTAAATATATTCAGTGCTGGTTCTATCCCCACATTTGCCTGCCTTTGTCTTTACAGAGTGAAAATAATTATTCACTGTTTCACAGTCATATTGAGTGAGTACTGATCTTATTAAATATTTACTGATTTATGGCTGACTGTCAATGCTGGTGAGAATTCTGGAATCATTAAATAAATGGAAGACTAGGTCTTCTATTTCATTTTGGACCTTTATCCCAATGTGCACCATAATTACACTGGTGAACAGATTTACCCATTACTTGCATTGTGGCACTCCGTAGTATGTCTTGCATTTAGTGCTATTTTTCTATTGCTTGGTCTTATTCATATAGTGTAGAAGTGGTGCCTGTAGATAGGTCTATTCTCACCTTCAAGTGCCACTGTGCTCCTTTAAACTGGCTTCTACATCATATGAATTAATCATCTCTGAATTAACATTAATGTAGCCACAGGGATGAGCATCAAACACTGTGACAACCTACTGCAATATCAGCTGCAGAAAGGAAGACTGGACAGGCTTTTCTCTCCCTTCTAAACTAAAAATAAATTAGAATTTGATTGCAATAAACACATGCCCAATATAGAATAGAAATGGATCAGTAGATATTAATATTGAATCAATCACTTGGTGGAATGAACTATCCTTTATGTTCCCAAAGTTGATCTAGTTTAATCAAAGTCATTTTCGTTATTTACATCTTGCGCTACAAGGTCTGAGCTGCGAATGTGACCCTGACCAAAGATTATGTAGCTACACTCTCCTTTCTCGCCTGTGTCTCAGGCCCTTGGTTTACACCGTGTCTGTCCTGCTCCCTGCTGCCTACCTCATCGGCCTTCTCTTCACCCTGAAGACCCACTCCCATATCTACGACATCCACATCAGCGAGTGTCAAGGTCAGTAGCAGCCTCCTCCAGGCTGGCGAGAGGTTGGTTTGCGAGGTGTAAAGATGATATGCCAACGTTTTGACACTTAAAACTGATTCACAGTCTGAAATAATTACATGCACCCTAAAAAGCCCAACAAGTAACAAGTAGAGTACTCCTGCACTCTTCACAGTCAAAATGGTAAAAAGTACAAAACAATGTAGAATTAAACTCTGTTTGTCTCTTTGCTGATGGAACTCTCCTCTCCAACCTTGTTCTAAATGTTTTTACCATTTTTAACTGTTTTACTCAATGTTGTGTGAGACCTTTTTTTACTGTTGGATCTACTCGGTAAAATCTCATCAAATCGCATTTGTGATACTTGTTATGCGTGGTATATGTTTGTGATTTTCTGGGTTACAGCTCAACTTAATTTCCTTCCGCCTGTGGAATGGAAAGTGTACTGCAGATGTGCTAGAATAGAAGAGGGAACATTGCATGTGCTTTCCTATTGAAATTGCAGCTCCTGTGCCTGTTCTAGGTTAGCAAACTGAGGAGTGCAGCATAAACTGTAACAAGCGGCCAAAACGCTTTGTTCTCATCTCGGTATGCCCTCCTCGGTTTTGCTGTAAGGATGTGGTATTTGGTCCCATAAGCCCTGCCTGTGTTGCAGTCCCCGGTCACCACCACAGTGCTGTAGTTCACTGGTCCAGGTGGAGGGCCCTGGTCATCCTAACCGTGGCCACTCTGCTGATGTCCGTATGCGCAGATCTGACCACAGAGCACATTGAGCCCATCCTCTCCCACTCCAAAGTGTCTCAGGTAGGCCAGGGGTGCCACTCCGACACCCGCAGGGTCATAGTGCCTCTTCTGTTGCATCACAAACTCCTCTTTTGAAAAGCAGTTGTCTGTTTTTCAGGCAATAGGTAACATGATTTACTGTCGACAGACAATAGATGACCTTTATTGCTTTAATGATGTTTTTTAAACACTTATGTAATTCTGTGAAAACATTTTTTAACGTACTGTCCATTCTATAGCACAGGGAATCTGATTTGACATTCTATTATATACTATAATATACATGATATTATATACTGTATAGTTATGAAACAAAAAAGTAGAAAAAAAAACTTGGGTAATTCTTTTTTGTTTCTTACAAAGTGCAGGTTCTCCATGTATTCCAGGTTAAAATGCAATATTCCAAAACTTGGATTTTGAACAAATAGTCCAAAACGCTGATAAATGTGATATGTATTTCTTGATATATGAACAAAACATTGCACATGGTTTTAGTTTTATTTGTGAACTCCTTATTTAATCATGACCTTTCTGTTTCTCTTTGCATTGTAGTATTTTATTGGTGTCACTGTGCTGGCCTTGATACCCGAGCTTCCAGAGCTTGTCAATGGAATTCAGTTTGCGCTTCAGAACAATATTAGCCTGAGGTAGGCTCAACTAGTATTATGGGTGGGAAGCACTTTCCTGTTATTATAGCAACTAACACTGACTATTCTTTACATGTGCAAACCTTAACTGTGGGTGGCCTAAAGCATATCTTGTAAGTGACTTGGATTGAACCCATCGCAAAAAGGTGGATTTGCATTCCTTCTGAGAGGTTTAACATGTGACTAATCACCTGATCTGGTGTCTGACTGTCACTGTAACTGGGGTTCAAGGCATCGACATCACATACCGGCATTCATAATTTAACAAGTCTCATTTTTGACAAGAAGATATTTCTTCTTGGCAGATGAACCCTGCAGAGCACAGAAATAAGAGACCCATTAAAATCGTTTCCAACCCATCCAGGGCATTTAGATTAGTGGTTTCCAAACTGGAGTCTTGTAAATAATGAACTATATTGATAGATTGATCCAGTATACCTGTATATTAATTTTAGTGTATACCAGCAGAATTGTATTCCAGCTGTTTCTTGAAAATACTCAAGCAAAGTAGAATTTGGGAACAGTGTAAATGCATGTTGTTGAAGCTGCTACCCTGGCCTTCTTCAAGAAACATCTGGATGAAGTTCTTAGATAATTTAGCTAACTACTATAATGTGCTAAAAGGGATGAATGGTTTCCTCTTGTTTCTAATCTTTCTTAGAAAAAATACTTTATCCTGCATTAAAACCCATATGTCCAGTCTAGGAATCTTGTTCTCTTTATTGTCTATAAAACCTTCTACAGTATGTATTAATCCTGTGAAATGTGAAAGTATGTGATAATTCACTACAGATTTGGAGAAATCCACCTTCTGACACAAAAGTAATAGATCATTAGCCCTTGTGTACAGTATATCCACAACACGGTGAAGAAAACACATGAGCCAGGAATTCTTCATGGGTGAATCTGTTGTGATTCCTTCATTAATATGTTTTTTTTGTTCCAGCTTTGAGGTTGGAAGCAGCATAGCAGTTCAAGTCTGTATGCTTCAGATCCCAATACTAATCCTCTTTAATGTTTTTTATGTAAGTGATCCACAACCTTTATTCTGCATTTTCCTTCTAAGTAAAAGTACTCAGACTTTTCTTGGAAGTATAGTTTGTTTATTGTTTTAAAATATATGATAAAAATGTACCTTCTTTTGTGGCTTAGAAAGGAGTTTTATTTAAATAAATTGCTCCTGGATTCTTCCAAACAGCTGTGGAATATAGAGATAAAGCAAAAATCAGCTCTGCTCTACCACTGCCACAAAGAGCTTTCAAGTTCTTACTCATTGTGCTCTCACAAGCTCCTTTGGTTAAATCTTCTTCTTTCTGATTTTTGCTCTGTACAGTTAATTGCTTTTTTTTACAGCAGAATTCTGTTTCCATTTCTGCTGTTTCCACAGGATGTTGGATTTGTTCTCATATTCAGCGATCTGCACCTTTGGGCCAGTATTTTCAGTGTGATTTTGGTGAACTACATCTTTATGGATGGAAAGTGTGACTATTTCCAGGGTAAGCTGTCATCCTTGGTGTGCTGAGCTTGACTTTAATTTTTTTTTTTTCACAGTGAGGCTGACCGTCAAAATGTAAAATGGTTTAAAGGTCTGGGCCTTTCCAAAATAGAGCCCTCTAGTGGTTAAAAAAAGATACTGATAACCACTCCTGCAGTACAGATGGTCTTGTATCAGTCCCTCTTCTTGGTATCAAAACAATTCTGCTATATTTTAAACAGGTTTAAATATGCTATGCAAGCTATTGTTTGCAGTTTAAAAGTGACAAAATAATTGAACGGAAGATTGTGACGAAGGATTAGTTCCTTTACAGACGCTTGTCTTGGTGATTATTATGTACTGTAGGACATTTTATTTTATATAAGGCCAGTGCTTTTCCCCCACACTTCAAAGCCTAATTAAAAAAAATCCCAATCACATTTCACATTTAAACCTGCGTCACAATGAAGTATACCAGGATTCTTGATTGTATTATTATTACCAGATTTGATACCCGGCATGAAAACCTTTTATCTGATGTTGATTTGACCTCAGTACCTCCATTTTGCTGTTCGCTGTTAATGCACAGCGTGGAGGTTGATCTTCATTGCGTGTGAGTGTTTGAGCAGACGGAAGCCACACAGTCACAGGGCTTCAGTGTGACCTGGGCGGCCCTGCTCGCGGCTGACAGAGCTCTCTCCCCACAGGGACTGCACTGGTGGTGGTGTACTTCATCCTGCTGGCCTTGTACTTCTTTGCTCCTTCCCCTGCTGGCTGCTGAAGATCCTCTGAGAACACTGAACAGAGCCCATCAGCGTGGAGCGGTGTCACCTGATGGAACGGCTTTCAAAACGTCATAAGCTGAGCCCGGCATTTTTTGGGATGAAAGGATTTTTTTATGCATCTTAATTTGTCAAAGTGTTTATATAGATTTTGTCTGGCATAACTTTTTATTATGCCTTTGTCTAGGATAACTTGTCAGCTGTATGTGGCTTAGTGTTTAATAGGAAGGACCGAGAGCTGGATACTAACTTCCAGCCTTGCTAGATTCACTGAAACTTTTCACCGACACTTTTTTTTTTACACTAATTGACCACAGAGCAGCTTTGGGCTGAATTAGTGTTTAGATATGTCAAAAAATGTCTACAATGAACAGGCACAATTAATAAAAGTGATTTTTGTAAATGTGCTTTTATTTAATAGGACAGTTTAAATTTGCAGGGGCTGAGAAACATGTGCCTCATCTTGTCTGCTTCAATGCACAATAGTGCACTGAACTGCTCCTGCATAATTTCATTCAGAATTGGAATGAAGTGGATTGGAAATGGCCAAGAGTAGTGGTGTTGTACACAATATGTAAAAAGTACCAGTCCTTGCATCTTACCCATGAGGTTATCACTAACATTGTGATCAAAGAATTACATCTATAATTACAGAAAAGGATCCTGCACTGTCGGTTTCAACCCCATGAGTGGGGAACTACTTCTAGATTTTAAATGGTGTTTTGAAAGCAGTGTCTCCTGTTTTCAGTCCTGAATTCACTTCAACTTCTCTTCTAGCTGTGTGCTTGGGTCCACGTGTTGCTGTTAAGCATGAAGAAGTTCCCTGAATTGGTGTTGGTCTGGTTTACGTTTTCTCTCACTGATCTACTTCCTGGGATGGGTCTAAAGTTAGTCTGAACACCAATCACTGCAGAGAACAGGGGAACACCTGCAATGGAGAGTCACATTCACACCAGAGGGCGTGACAGTAGCAACTGTGCTGGCAGTGTTCTACCTAGGGAAGACTGCACACTCTTTAGCAGAGAGCAGGCACTTCTTTTGACACCTTGTGCTCTGTGTTCTAGACGCCAGTGAGGTGAGGCTTGGCTCCCATGTGTGCTAACTGGGAGTGGGATACTTCGAGTGGTAGCACAGACATTGACGGAGTGCTGCCAAGGCTGGGTTAATGTCTGTCCTCGGGTTGCTCTGTGCAGGATGCCAGTGAGCGGGTGGTGGTAGTATTGATTACTATACCTCTACCCCATTTGACAATGCTCTCTGCTCATGCACATCTTGGAGGAGGGGGTGTATGATATTCACCCCATGCAGGTATCAGTTGCGGTGAGGATTGAGTATTGCAGATTCCCCCATGAAACAGATACAGGTGGCGGGGTAGGGGGTTGCCCAGGACTATCGTGTTAAATATCTGGCAAAGAGCTCAAAGATGCATGTAAGTTATGGAGTAAAGTTTACAAACCCATTACAGGTTCATTTGTAGGTTGTCTTAAGCACAGCAGCTGTATCACCTTACAGGTCAGAACTGGCAACCTACAGAAGCTAAGCAGCTGTAAACTGGAAGAGGTGTTAGTGGACCAATAGTGGGGTGCTCACCCTGTAGTCTGTGTGGGTCCTATTGCCCCAGTATAGAGACAGGGACACTAATGTGTAAAAAAAAAAAAGCACTGTCTTGTAAATGAGATGTAAAACTGAAGTCCCAAGTGGATGTAGTCATTAAAAATCCCAGGGCATTTCTCAAAGAGAATGGATGTTATCTTGCACAATTTCCTATTGGCTTTTATGGCCTCCTAATAATCTATTAATTGACTTCTTTACTCTGTTCTCCTCCCCACTGACAACTGATGTACTGTGAGTGAACTGGTACCCTGGCTGCTGTCACATCAGTGGCAGTGGTGGGTAGGCCCTACCCCCATGAAATAGTACATAAGTGTATAATAAAATAATTCTTACATTATCAAGAATCTCACATTCAACCCAATCAAGTACCTGAGTTGCAAATTTGTCCCTTAACCTCATGTTTAGGAACTACCCAACGGTAGTTTAGATATGTAAATTGAATTTGCAATACAAGGGGCATTGCCACAAAGGCCTTTCCCTAATCTTCTTGAATTAAAACAGAACATAGAGGCCCTTTGACCCATCTAGCTCAATGAAGAGTAGCTCATAGCAACAAGTTAAACAAGACCTATTTTTCCTTTCCAAGACTGTCCTCTAGGATCTTATTACTACATAGATTGGTCTGTAAATAATTGGTTGAGTGTGGCTTTCCTTTTTACGGGAAGGATTACATTAGTAATTCTGCACTCAATGGCTGCCACCAACAGCTGGTTGAAATACCATAAACCACCCAGCCTTGATGGAGGGTGTGGGTGGATCATAAAACAAGTGATGTAATAATGAGAAAAAGTTATATCCATAGACTGTGCGTAATCAGATTAGAGCAGACTATTGTAGATGTGTTTCAATGCATATTGACAGGCCTGCCTCAGTATACATGTTAAATTAGATGGGATTCAAGTCCCTTAATTAGACAGCTTTCTAGAGAGCTTGAAGACTTCTTGAAATTTTCACCTACAATTTGGGCCCAATTTAATTTTACATACCAAACACAGATTTTAAAAAAAGTACTTTAAGTAAACAGGCCTGTTAAAATAAATGTCCCCCCCATTTTATTTTAGAAAAGCAAAGTAAAGAAAAGGCTATACACCATTACTGCAATGCAGTTTTGTAATCTTGGATGAAATGCAGACCTTCAGGAAATAAAATAGCATTTTTACTTTATTGAATCATCGACAAACAAAACACATAACAGTTACACAAGTACATATAATTAGTGATTGCCTTAAAACCATTCTCTACACACAGCAAGGATTCAGTAAAAGAGAGTCACCCCTTCCAAAATATGATTCAAGTTATGAATACGTGCACAACAAGTTCACATGCATCAATATAAAAGGGAATTAAACAAAAAAAGGCAGGCACAGGGTTTGGCATGTACATTTTTGCCATAAAGCCAAGCATTGGTTCAGAAATCCAAAACCCAATAAAAACACACACAAGCCTCCCAAAAAGTAAAGTATCCTGTGGTCTGGAGAAAAGAAATACTTCAGTTTCCAGAAGTTTGTTTGGACCACCAGTGTGAACTCATAGCCTTGTTTTAAATCTGCCTATTAAAACCATTCCTTTCACAATAAAGCTGCCCTTCAGGTAGACAGTCGTTGTACCCAAGCCCATATCTGGTCTGTTCTGTGGATGACATCCATTTCAATATCTGTCCACAAAACAGTCTATAGTCAAATTCTCAGATTTAATATACACACTGGACTGCTTTGGAAGGAATGCCAGTGAACTAACAGAACTATTTGCAAATATAAAGTGGTTTAAACTTTACACATTGTGGCTTTGAGCAAAACAATTGTAATGAAAGTGGTATAAAATTTATTGCTGAAAACTAAAATTGAACCCCCACAATCAACATCACACCCAGTGTATGTATATGCCTATAAATCAATTTCAGATCTAGAACATTACTGAATATTAACTCTCCCCAAACCTTATTGTTCTCATGAGGAAGGCATCTACAAATTTCTATTCTGTTTCAGTTGTGAATGAATGCTAAAATCTACGAAGCCTGGCTACCTATAATCCACTAGGTTGGTTATTTCCATACATTGGTCCTATATGGATTCAAAACAATTTATAAAAGAAAATGGCATAACCTCCAAAATAAAATTAAAGTAGAAAAAGGCAAATAATGATTACTGCTTTCGTGGAAATATTTTGAACACCTTTTAAACCTAAGTACGTGTAGTTCTACACCACTTTTTAAGGGAGAAAAAACCGATTTAGGAAACCAAATATTAGCAGCTTTAAAACCTTTCAAAGAAATCAATTTAAAGATTAGAAAAGCTCACAGTAATAAAAGGTTTAGTGGTCAACTAAAGCAATTGATTAACTGGTAATTCTGGTATTTGCATGTTTCTATCTACAATGCACAAAACAGAAACGGGCAAAGTGACTTTTAAAGTTCATCATTTCATAGATCATGAGGCTTTAACATTAACTTTTAATACTGCCCCATAGGTTAGCTTAAATCACAAAGAATGAACTCCACTACCAGGTGAAAGTTTAGATTTCAACTAAAGGTGCACTTGGCCAGCTAGTGTACCATCTGAATATCTAATATTCACATCATTCAGGCCTGACAAACACCCAAGCACTTGGTAAAATGTCTACGAACATCTCCTGTACATCTTAACAACCAGTTTTATGAAGCATTGAGAACATGCACCTGAAGAAAAAAGGTCAAAATGCTTCTGACCCATTTTGTCTTCCCCCAGCCAACTCAAATTAGATGCACATCTAAAATACTAATACCGTTAACTTCACAATTTGTTTTAAAAAAAAGCACTAAATGATACTGAATTAAAATGATTTTACTAAATGGGGAAAAGGCACTGAAATTTCTCCAAAAATGTTAAGATTGCATTTAGAAAGTTTACATTGGTCTTAATATATGAAGATCATTTGCATTTAAAACCATACAAATAAGGCCATGAGGACTTCCATGCACTGCTCCACACACACATACTTTGGGAAAAATAGATCTAACAAGCACCAAGTTCACAGTGATGTTCGATTTGGTGTATTAGTAAAGATTAGTAAAAGGCATAAAAAGGAAGACTGAGGCAAGACAAAATAAGACAGGAAGACCATAAAGAGGAGATGCAAGACATTTACCAGAAGCAGACAGAGAACATCTAGATCAAGTTTTGGGTGGCACCCTCACATCATGGATGTTTTGTAGCTGAACAGCATCAGTCATCTGCAAAGCTGCTCTATAGAGCTGTCAGTATGATGACAAAATTTACAAACTCCTTAAAAAAAAAAATCAGCTTCAACACATGTTGTTTTGCACAAAATTGCCAACAAAAAAAGGCAACACAGATCTGTCAGTTTCACGTGTGCCACCATATGATAAGCCTTTAAAATAGGATCTAAAAACAGCTTCCACAGTTGTATAATTTTCATTAAGCCCCATGCTGTTAAATAACTTAAAAGTGCAGTAAAAATGCTTTCCAACAGTAAAATGTCCAGAGCTGTCCACTTAAAGACATACAGTCTTAGTGGGAATTCTTTTTTTAGTACATGTACAGATCCTTCCAAACACATGGAAGAACCCACACAAAAGAATGCCTGCAAACTTGCAGTTTTGGCTCCTTTTAAGTCCTGGTTTTCTAAACATCAAGACAAATGATTTCACATTACTGGGTATCCCAAGTAATTATACTCCATTTATGCACTCAGTTTTGAAGAGCTGAATGTGACAAGATCAGGACAAGCTGAGTAACATATTACAAGCAATATACATTTTCTGTTATAGTAAAAAGTGAATAACCTGGCAGCCTGGTACAGGTTATCTTGCCCTTTTTCTGTTGTTCTCATTCTTAAAAGCCACGGATCATCCGTTCAGAAAAAAAAAGGTTTAGAACTAGTCCTACTGCACTAGTGTTATACACACTGCACCAGTATCGTAGTAGGTCAAGCAGGTTCCTGGGGTCATCCCCCAGCTGAACGCGTTGTTCTATAAAAAGGATGAATGTTCTCCACTTGTTGCAGCAAATCCATAGACTTGAAACATTCCACTTAATTTAAAAAATAATTAAAAGTGCAAACAAAAAGGCATCCAATGTTTTCATTTAAGGCAGCCCAAAGAAATCTTTGAAAAAGGTTCTTTCAGCACTCTGCTCCCAGTCTGTCCTTGCTGTCTGTTCGGTTTCATCCTGAAGCCTGGCCAGGAGGTCCCTATTTCAATCTCTCGATCAGTTCCTGTGTGAGACCCAGGTTTATGAGCTGCATTGTTGAGAGCTGGGCCAGGTGTGGGAAGTATTTAATAAGTTTCTCCCAGCACAGTTCGAACAAGCTCGGTACCACTAACCAAATCTTAAACAAGGAGCCAGTCCTCTTGTTTTCATGAATATTTACCACGCCACCATGGATGTACATACAACCAGCCTGCAAGAGATGAGGAAAGGAAGAGACAGTCTGTCAAGGTGTCAGCACTCAATCAAAAAGTTTTATAATATGATTGGCACAGTAGTCCTTCAACATATCTACTTCAAAGGCAATATGCTATACGTTTCAATGAAATAAACCTGTACTAAAAAACTCTTAATGGAATTCACTTACAGGGGTTACAGCAGCACAGTGAAAATAGGCAGGTTCAGGCATAACCGCTGGGAGTTTTGTCCACTGGAAGGTCTGTAAATTGATTTTCCACAGATCCCCCAGGATCAGTTCTCCATTATAACCACCACATATAAAGACATCTAAAAGAAAAATGCAGTTAAACCTTAGAACTAGTTTCAGGCTTTGCAGAATGTTGAAACAAGGTGAAGATTGTGGTTTTCTAAACACCCAAGACAGAAACATTGGAATAAAGACAAGCAACAATAAAACTAAAATTTCTAAGGCATAAAAGAGCCAGAAGGTCTCTACTGTGCCTATTTCACACATTTTCATTTTAATAAAGTATGCAAAAAAAATGAAAGTATTCAAATGAGACCAAGAGGTGACTGGAAATAAACTGGATACTTACTATTTCTTATCTGTACACAGCTGTGACACCTTCTTGCTGCAGGATACCCTGGAAAAATGAAAATGTAACACTAAATGTAAAACCACTCTGGCTCTTATTACAGGAAAGATGATTTACTGTTGTAGTGATGCAGCTATAAAGCATTTCAATTTTCTTGCCCGATTCATATTTCCTTCAAAACAAGAACCTATAACTACTGCTTTAAAATTACTACCACAAATTATAGTTCCAAGAAGTGTTCTGCTTGAAAGTTAGAGGGGAAAAATCTGTAACATCCTGACTAAATCAGCATGTAAACACAATGGGGGACATACTTATTCAGACTCAAAATGTTTCAAAACATTAGCTTTCGTTGCCCAGCGTTCAACTGAACTGAAAAAAATACATATACTGTACCGATTTTTTCATGAGGTTTGGTTGCAATTTCTTCCCATGAATTGGTCTCTAGATTGTATGCATGTATCTGGAGGCAACAAAAACATCAGATCATTATTTTATAACTGGTGTAATTCAGACACCATGCCTAAACCATAACCATCTCACTTTGCCCTTCCAGCTACTGGATCTGGTAACCTTCAATTACATCACCTTGAGATCTAGCTCCAGCTGCTTTGCAACTAGTGCTCTACTGACACGCTGAGCTCCAAAACAGGACCAAGCGTGTCTTCCTTTACTCAAGACCCTGATTAACCACATCACAAACTAGTCAAACCCAGGGTCATGTTTCCAAAAAGAAATAACAGCAAAGTTCATGGAAAACAATAACGGTCTAAAGCCAATAGCTACTGTCACTGTTAAGACCACATGGCTCCAATCCATGGTGTCGTGAACATGTGGCTTGCCCTCTGATATTCCCCGTCATGGAGGTGCACTCCAAGTTAAGACAGATGTTACCCTGCTTAAACTGGCATAATTTAGAGATTTGGAATCATGCTATGTTAACCAGTTTGTGCTTATAAAAAATGAAAATGTGATGACAGTCACCGAGCTTTCCAGATAACTGTAATTCTTGCAAGGGGATTGCCTTTAAGGAGTGATGACTTCAATACTATACCTTATCTAAAGGGTATGATGTCCAGGAGGTTCCTCCACCTAGAATGTATATTCTCTGTCCATCATGTGCAATTTCATGTCTGTACCTTGGGAGATAGAAAGACATTCATCACTGTTCATATGCTGTAATCACTCCTTTTCTAAAGGGGTTGTGATTAGCAGAATGAACAAATATGAAACAATCTTATAGATTTCCTCAACCCAAGTGCTTTGATACTCTAAAAAAGAGGGAAGAATATGAAAAAAGTTGTGACCATCCTGCATCAGCTGCAAGTCTCTTTCATATCTCCACGCACTTACCTTTCCTCAGGCAGGTCATCAGGAGGGTTGTTAGGTTTGAGATGAATCCACTCCCGAGTGGTCAGGTCCAGCCTGTGCAGATCTGTGCTGTAAATGTAGCCTGTTGTTCCCCCAAAGACGTACAGGTAGCCATTTATAATGGCCATCGCCTAAAAAAAGTTGGCAAGATACGGATATATATAATTAGATTCTATTCTGCATCTTTCCTTTAGATTTCCAAGCATCAAGTCATCATTAATCAAAGTAAAAATAAATGTTGTACCGATATACCTGTCCATATATTCTGTTGGGCTTCTTTCCTCGGCAGTTGAGCAGAGACCATCGCTTGTATTTCACATTACAGACGTGGACATCATTTCCATTGTTCTCACCAAACGGAATCCCAGTGCCTCCAAAAACCAGCAGGTTGTTTCCGTGTAGAACAGCTGAAAGACCAATGAGCTCATTTTAATACACTAACATACAAGTCATTTATAGCCCTTTATAAAGGAAGGATTTTAGGATGAAGAAAAACTATTAGAATACTAGAGCTGTAAATTGATAAGGTCAGAAACTGTGATAATATATACTGACAGAAAAAAAACTCAATTTTCCGGAATGAGAATACTACAGCTATAGCTTATGTACTTTCACAAAAAGTCGTCAATTTGTTTTAAGCCCTCTGACCAGCAATACAGCTTGTGCAGTGAGGTATTGCAACTTGCCAATCACACGAAACCTCATTAGGTACAATTTAACCCAACGAAGTCCAGGTGGAACAATGCCCGATCAGGTCACCTTTAAAAAGGCCTTAAATCAAAGCTCAGGGAACTGCAAGAAAAAGGCCACACTTAGTCAGTTTGCTGCGTATTCCATAATGCCTCAAATGTCACCAGGAGCAAGGGAGAGGGACATTGGCATGCTGCAGGCAGGCATGTCACGTGCCAGCGTTGCCAGACACTACAGAGTGAGCCGCTCCACTGTGTCCTGACTGCAGAGAAGGTTTCAGCAGACCGGCAGGACAAATGACTGGCCACGATCCGGTCGCCCTCGAGTGACCACACCAGAGCAGGGTCCATCTGAGAGATCGTTTCAGATCTCCCACCCGTACTGCTGCTAAAATTGCTGACAGACACAATGTCCGCATCAGTGACAGGACCGTGAGGCTCCATGCTGCTGGCCTTAGAGCAAGGTGACCCGTCAGAGGCCCTCTGTTCACACCTCCTAGACGTCACACCCGATTGCCTTGGGCCAGACAGAGGCTGCAATGGACTCGTCAGCAGTGGCACCAGGTCCTCTTCACGGATGAGTCCCTCTTCAGCCTGTTCCACGCAGATGGGAGGGCCAGTGTGGAGGAGGAGGTGTTGCGTTTCTTTTCCTCCCCCATCAGTATACATTAGCCAACATCAGACTGTACACAAACCAAACAACCCCCCTTTCCCCTGGAGTCAAACAGAAAAGCTCTGGGTAGAAGGGTACTTACCTGACATGGAGGCAAGCTCTGTGGGCATGTAGCCTTCCGTTCGCATTTGCTGCCAAGTTCCAGTGGCAAAGTGATACCGCCAGAGCTCCCGAAACAAGGGGTAGTCTTCATTAGCCGAGCCTCCCGACTCATCATAGTCAGGGTTGTATCCTCCAAAAACATACAGATTAGAGTTGTCTGCCACACAGCGGTGTCCACTCCGGGCAGGGGGGGCACGATGACCTGAGGACAGGGCAATGATGCATTACAAGCGAAGCCAAGCCATTTACACACATTACCTCACACCGTCCAGAAGCGCATGGACAAGGATCAGGGATTACTTCACATACGCAGCCCTCTATCAGTTACAGACATCCCGATCAAAATCCCCACACAGGCACATAAACATGCAAGACGAGTTTCGTTAGGTTTAGAAACGGTAATTTTAGCATTTTGCTGCATGTAGTAAATTTATGTTCCATATATTCTAGCAGCACTTATGTTTGACAAAAACACTGCGATTCAGATATTCTGAGGTGAGCGATTTAATGCACAAAAAGTGAGATTGGACCTGATAGTTTCTATAAAAACTAACGTGGCATACCATAACATGCCAACATGACTGAACTCTCAGCAGTTTTTCCAAATTCAACTGCAAGCACTCATTTTGAACAGGAAAAAAAAAAACAAAGGAAGCTAGGAAAAACTATAAATGCATCATTTCTGTCTGCCTGACCATCTCATTTTCATACCAGCAGCATCTTGAGTGTTCAGTTTTGAGAAAAGTCAACAAAAAATAATTTAGAAAAATGTACACTCTTGAAAGCACTGACCAATCATTTAAAAAAAAAAAGAAAAATGGAAACTCTTATATACCATGTGACAGCTGCCAAGTTTTAAGGACAAGAAAGCTTAACTTGAGCCATACAAGCAGCAGGTTTCCGGGCACGCCAGACTTCCCCTCCAGCAGTGGACAGTGGTTTCTCAACACATGAGCTTGTCACGGAAATGCATCCTTTTACAACCAGATTTAACATTTAATTTCATTCCGGAGGTCTTAAATAGCGATTTTTTTGCAATAACTATTACTTCATTCACACTCACCATTGCACATCTTGTATAGGTTTGACAACTGCAAATCAATCACATGGAAAGACCATGGAGCAGACCAGTCTGCTAGTACATGCTGTTCTGGTGCACCGTACACTACAATGTGTCACAGGGTTACTAGGTACAGTAGTAGTCTTCCGAAGTACCAATTTTTTTTTGCTAGCATCAAAAATGAAAAAAAGGAAAAATCCACCATCATATACAAGTGTTAATCAAGTCTGGAGTAAATTCTCTGCTAAATGTAGGCGTATCATCACCACACCTGTGACCACAGAGAAATGCAAGTGTAGCTATGCAAATATGAATTAGATATACACAGCAACTATCTCTACTGTTAACACACCTTCATATAGTGGCTTTGCTGGTACCCTACTGCTCCAGCAATTATTTACTGAAGTGTAATTAAGACCATTAGAAAATTCACTTCAGCAAATAGTGAAGATTTAGTTATTGGAGTAAGAATACTTTCTGTAAGGTACTAACAGAATAAGCGTCCATGATCAACTATTTATACAACTTCCTCTAACTCTTCATGAAGTATTTTCAAATAGCCTCTTAACCGCAAGTGCTGCCCTTATCTCAGTAACAACGTAGATATCTTTAGAACTGCAGAAATGAGTTCTTCACACCTGTGTCTTGGCAGCTCCTCAGAACTCATTTTGATTCTTTTCGGAAAAGACTACTTAAACAAAGGACTGCCAAGACCAATTTAAAACATGGCTCTTTACATAACACTATAGTATTTGTGTGACAACTGTTCACCATCAGACAGAAGTTACACAAACACCTACACTTAATCAAGTCAGAGTACTGAAATCTTTACGATTGTATTGATGAAATCTGTACTGGACAGAATAACTGCACGTGCACTGCAATGAAACAGAAGGTTTCATCTTTGTCCAATGCAATCCAATTGATGCAGCAATGTGAAATTTATACCTTTTGCCCAATGTACAGGGAGATCTGTCACGGCAGCTTGGACAGTATAGCTGTAAAGCTTTGTTCCATTAACACGAGCCACAGAGGGTACAGTCTGCAAGCATGGAGATTACAGAGCCGAGCTGAGGGATCACCTAGCACTGCATCCATTTCCCCATCTTCAACAGAGGCAGTGTAACTGCTTTCATACACAGGCATGACATCCTTCTAGCCATCCTTTCAGCAGCTGCACAACATTGATTAGAAAAGGATGAACTAACAGTACCAGATATTTAGACTTTTTCTGCCAGTCAAGCAGTGGGAAATTTAAAGATCCGGGACAATGAAAGGGCAGATTTTTTAAAAAGTGCATCTTAGGGTAGATATGATCAAGCTACCTTTGTCTTGATCACATTCCATTTCTCCTAGATCGAAAGGTGGACCTCACTACTTAGGGAGAAAAAAAAAATCAAAGCAGCATTTCTATACAATAACAGTGTTACTGCCTTTGACAGGTGCAGCTTTGCAAATTTTAAGATTACTGTATACTTAAAGATGTACTTTTATAAAATGTAAAACTTTTACAAGTGCCTACTTTATATTCTTGATTTCTGAAGGACACTATTACAATTATTTATAATACAAAAGACTAATTTATATTCTTCTATACCACCCATCTGGAATTTCCCATTGGATCTTTGTTGGCTTGTGTACCCTCATGAGGGAGACATGCTGCGCCACCCTGCCCACCCATTGGGAGCTGGCAGACGCTGCCTGTTGCTCTGCGTGGCACTCTGCTAACCTGCTACTTAGGCCATCGTGGTCACAGAATCAGCTTCAGTGTTTTTCAGCTTGGGTTACCCTGGGCATTCTTGTCTTCCAGTTTGTGAAACTGGTACACAGAATGCAGCACTATCACGACCCTTCACTGGTGACAGCCCACTACCACAGCGCCATCTGTGCCCCTGTACCTTTGTCTCCACTTCAACAGAGGTGCCTGGCTTCGAGTGCTGTAGCAGGCCTGAACTTAACACCTCTCCTAGAAAGAGAGAAGCATAACAGGTCTCGCCTTCGACCCGGACATCACCTTTCCTGCGATCTAAGAAAAAGGCCTGATGGTTTATTAGAGTGCAGCACAACGTCACTTCACTTCTAAAACCATTCTACTGAAACCTAAAATTAATCAAACAAGTAACAGAAAAACATTTATGCAAGTTTCCAAAAAAAAAGCAGAGATAAGGCTCCTATCCAACCTCCGACATCAATCAGCCGCACCGCATTAATAAACGAGCAGCACTAATTGCTGCACTGCTATACTGTTAGAAAGCCAACGCAGCAGGGGTCTTCGCACAGGATAAATGTATTGGGAAGAGGAAGACACTAAGTCGCGTTAGAGGACACTTGCACTCATACCGATATATTAAACAAATATTCATAATTAAACAAGTCCCACGACTGCCAAACAGACAAAGAAAAAAAAAAAGAGTGCAGAAGAAGAATGTCTTGGACCAAAGAAAAGGATGAGGCAGGGGAGAAGGGATACATGAATGTTCTTTCACCAACAGCATAATTGCACATCTTGTTCAGCTGCTTACCCACCTTCTCTCAAAAACCTGTTAGGGATCCTGAGGCTGGGGCACGGTTGAGTGAAGATTCGCCGAGCCGGCAGCCACCGTACTCTCTTCTTAGAGCCTGTTACCACAATTACCGGCAATGAGTCAGTCACACAGACAGCGGAAGACAATGGCAAACAAACACAAAGTACACCACAGCCATCAAGGAAGGGTAAGGGGCTCCCTAGTTATTTATTGCCCTCAAAAGGGCAAATACAGCTTAATCACAAAGGAGATCCCTAGCAGCAAAGCCAGGTGAGGCTCTTGGGAGTTCAGTGCAGTCCTAGTGCTTACCGCTCCTCACTCGTGAGCTCACACTTCTGGGAGGTTCACTCCAAGGGGACAGTCGCTACCCTGCCTGCACAGCAAGCCAAAAAACGGGCCACAGATCGACCTCTAAACTCATCTTGTGCATCAAATACGTTTTTTTACCCAGATATTTTAGTACTACATATTACTTTAACTTTATTGCCATATGTAACTGGTACATGTACCGGTACAAGGGAATTCTCACTTACAGAAAGCCTCTCGATTGTTAAAAAGTGTAAAAACACAAAGTGCAGATAGTGCGTCAAGACAATATACAAACAAACAGCAGACAATGTAGAAGTAAACAAGTCTGAATGTAAACAACGCAGACATGTAAACAGTGACTGCAGATGTGCAATAAGGAAGAAATTATAACGAGGTAGATGACGTAGGTGTGGTCTGAGGGGCATGGCCAAATGTGTTCGCCAATCGCACTGCTATTTAAGCTATTGAAGAATCTGGTGGTAAGTGTCGGTTTGCTCTTGTATCTCTTTGCCTGAGGGCAGTGGGGTGAAGCGCTCACGGCCGGGGTGGTGACTGTCCTCTGTGATTGCCAGAATTCTAACACAGCAGCGGTCCTCTGAGCCATTTAATCTATGTGAGACCATAGCTGATGATCTTCAGGGCCACATTCACCATTCTCGGCAGTGCCTTCCTCTCGAGAAATGGTGTTGCCGTACCACACGGTGATCCTCTTGGTGAGGATGCTCTTGATGCTGCAGCGGTAGAAGTTCACCAACACAGGTACTGGCATCCCCCATCCTATGAGGCACCTCAGGAAACAGAGGTGCTGCTGAGGCTTCTTCGAGTCCCTGTCCACAGTCCAGGTTAGGTCATTAAAAATGTGAATTCCCAAAAATCTAAAGCTGGTGACTGATTCCACTTCCTTCGAACTCCAGCAAGAGGACAGCTTCAAATCTGCTAGAGGCTGCTCAAGTAAAGCATCATATAAAAAAAAACTGAAAACAGGATATAACTTCCAGGACCACATGGCTGCTAGCTACCATTTTGTTTAAAACAGTTGACTTAAAGTATAAAGTAGGCCTGATGGAAACAAGTCTTTCGTAGAATCTGGGAATTTGATTGCTTTCATAACACAGACAAGTGAAACACTTAAAACCTTTTAAAAGTGATGTAATGTAAGTAATGAAATGAGCCTTGTTAGTAATATCACAACAATGCACAGTATGGAATGGCTTGATGCCATTATATACAAGTATTATATACACTACTTGGACATTGTACTCATATACCTTACTGCCATGCAAGTATGGTCACTTTCTTAAAACAACCACAAACACAACAACAATAAGTGGCAAAACTACTCCGTGCAAAACCCTAATATGGGTAAATTATATGCACTCCAAGTTAAATCTAGCACAGTTTTAGGCTCTGAAAACTTCTCTAGCAAGCACACAGAACCAAAATAGGACTGACACCACGAGCACATTAACTGAGCAGGATTCACCAACAGCAGACCTCAAAGTGCAAAAATGAACTGAAACCAGTCTGTTAGGCACATCAGTAACAACCAGAAGTTCTATTTTGGTAAAGCCCGTCTTTCACCGACCCTGATGATCTGTCAGAAAATGACTAGCATTTCTATTAGTAAGGATATACCAGGTCCCAATACATTTTCCTCCTGTAACAATATGCTTTGAGCAGTCTGAAATCCAGTGACGCTTTCCAATTGTACACTTTAAATCTTCCACACACAAGTTAGCTACTGACTTCGTACTGGTGCATATATGCAAATAAGCATTACATTGCACTTGCGCATGTGACTATAAACTGAACTGAAGCTTATTAGCACTTTACATGGCATAACTGGCATTTGGAAAAGAAACCTATTGCATTTAAACAAGATACCATTGCGTTAAACTAGATACTTCATGTGTTTATATGCGATAACATCGCATTAAGACAATTTGTGAAGAATACTGCCTACTATATTAATACCTTGCAATATACAGTTGATGCAATTTTGTTCCATGCAAATCAGCATTGACTTTAACAGAATATCACATCTCTCTGCAGAATAATTAATCTACAGAAAGAAGTATGAGTACTGTCTTTTGCATACATGAAGTAGAACACCATATCAGGGAGCATTCCTGTATTAAATGTCATTTTAACCATTTCTGTACAAAGCAGAAATGACACTGTTATAAAAATGTATGTTATTTTTCTTCCGTTCCAGATGAAGCACCCACTGCACAAGTTTTTGCCTACTCTTTACACATTGAATAGAATACATTTAAGATGACTTGACAGCAAGACTTGCCTTACTCTTACTGTTGGTCTTTAAGCACAAAACCCTCAAAAGCTTTTAGACTATGCTTACAATCCCATACATTTAAATTCGGAATTGCATAGTTTTAATGCAGTTTGTCTGTTTTAGCTTGTGTGCCGTCCTGGAATTGTGCGTCACCTTTTTTTTTTTGGCATTCCCATCTCTTTCATTTCGGTGCAAACCTACACAGAAATACGGTTTGACCTCCCTTCAAATGACACATTTCTTGCGCACTGCCGTTTAATATATTAATTCCTTCACACAAAGAAGAGTGTGACGATAGTCTACCGTTGTTAGAGACAATGCTAATTTGCATGGTACAATGTTATTACATATTGTATCCTGCGAGATATCGATATATTAGGCGATATTGTTCACAAAGTAAATTATTACACTTCCACAGCTGGCACCTTAGACCAACAGAGAAACCGGCAGCTTGTGAAGTGGGTTTCGCTAGCTTGCACGCATGGCTCCTTTGCCGGCTCAGCTGCTGAACACCGGCACGCCGCCAAGTCACTAACGCCCTCATGCTTCGAAGGTGGGAGCTGAACCAAAGTTGTCTGGATGAGACCAGGCTGTTACAGGAAAAAAAAAACATCTTAAATTAACGCTGGGACTTCTGCACGGTTCTGGGGTGGAGCCCGTTTGTCACCTTTGGTGGCATTTCTTAACAGGAGGCATCCAGCCACATTTGAAGTCCAAAGAACAAACCAACAGAACTTCAATGACCGAGACTCTAGTCAAAATTAACCAGGCCATTATTAATTAAAATGGGGACAAACGCAAGATATGCTATAGTAGAATATGTATTTGGTTAATCGCAGATCATCACGCTAAATTATTCCAACTTTAAGGTATGCATGTTTAACTACATTTGCAAGGAACTTTGTTCATTTGTCTTGAAAAGTAAGCTGTCTGAATAAATTATTAAACTTGGAATAAATGCATAAAAATATTTTCAGATTGTTTCCACTTCAATCAAAATTTGGGCAGAATACACGCATCATTTAAGTGAGCTGTGATCCCATACATCAAAGTAAGATTCCAGTTCACACAACTGTCTGGAGACATTAATATTTAAGCATTACATGGTTAAATGTTATGTGTACAAAAAGCACTCATTATGTTTTTGTAAAAATACAAAGAGGCATGAGGCAAACTGACAAAGGTGTGTGAGAAAAACGATTTAACATGGATTTTTTTTTATTTAATTTCCCTCATTGTCAAAGAGTGGTTTGCAGACCTTGATAAATGGTAGTTCTAAGCTTCAGTGCTCAAACAGTATTACACAGTCAAGGATTAATAATAATTTGAGGGTGGGAAAGAACTTTTGATCGTTTTAAAATCAAACTCCTAGACACCACAGTCAAACATTGCTGGTGGGGATATAAAGTTATTTCTATTTCTAGGTATTCCTGTAACACTGAGCAACTCTGCCTCGTCACGGGTTTAAAAAAAAGCTGCTATGGTCAACCTCATACAGAGAATACAAAGAAGGTACTATTAACTGTATCCCATTAGGAAAATGGGTTAATAGCTTCTCCCCAAATTCAAGACCTTAAAAATGTAGGACTTTCAAGGTTTGCCACCTGCGCGTAATGGAACAATTAACTGTACCTCATGATTATGAATTTATTCCTAATGTGTTCTCAGGTGCAAAATTAATGACGGGAGTGGATAATGTGTAATCTATACCGAGAAAGAGTGAATGCAATCCGATAAAGGGCTATACTGTAGTTGTGGAAAGAGGGAAACCTTGGGAAACAAAAACACCAATGTTCTCCTGTGTCACTTGCTTTCAAAAATGTCTGCAGCCACTTATACAGCTGAGTGTTTCCAGAAGCGCCTTGCTGAAGGTACTACTATATCATTATCAGGGGTCACACTGGAGGTTTGAAAATGCAACTTTCCAGTTAACGGTTCAGAGCCCTTACCACTACTGCACACTGGAGAGCTCCCAGATCCTTATCTCAACAAAAAAGTCAAACAGTAAAAATCCCTAACCCTTTCATCCGAATCTGATCATTGGATGGCTCTAACGGCTAGGCCACGGTTAACACCAAATTTCCGCTCAAGACAAGTCAAGCATCTCCCATATTTGGTCGTTAGGGGGAAAGGGGGGAAAACCACGATTTACTTAAGGTTATATAGTTAACATTTAAAAACCCAAGAACTGAGTATCTGAGCCAGTACTCCTTAGTTTTAATGGCTCTCGGTATATAAACCACAGTCCATTAAAAACGAGTGCACTCCTCCAGGAAGACGTTAGTCGTAACTAGCCAAGTGTTCGCAGGCACGACGCCAGTGATCACAGCTTCATAAATTCTCCACTTCGTCCATACTGCCAACTGACAGTGACAGTTCAAGCCAGTTACGCACTTACCACACTCCGGGGTTCTCAGTCAACATCCGTTTTCAAATGATCGCTGCGATCTCAGATAACGCTTGTTACGTTTTGGACAACTAGAATTAAAAATCACTTCCTTGAAGCAAGAGGTAATACTGCCTTTCACTCGAAACGGCGAAGAAGGCGTGAATTCGTCACACCACCTAAAATACGGTCGATTGTTCCTGTGATGGCAGGGCGAGCCCACATTTAAGCAGCAAAATAAAGCACCCCCCCCCAACCCACAGCCGTCTTAACTAAACCGGACGTGTTAACAGTGAAATTGACTTTCAGCAAAACCGCTGTTTCAACATAGCCAAAGCATAACGCATGGCTAGAACTTGCGCTTCAATAACTGACAGCCGAATCAAAGCGACCATTTCAGCAATCCCCTCCCGCAGCCGAAACAGATCAACGAGCTGCGTGAAGTCGTTGGCCGTTTTAAGGATCAGAGACATTTAAGACATTTTATACTTCAAACTTTGCATTTTCTTTTGAATACATTAAGAAACGGCCGGTCTTACAAATACGTGCAGCCATTTTACAGTGATGGGTCAAGCAAAAGCAAGAACACCCCCCAAAATACAGCGTCTTCTGTACAATCTGCAAATAACTGAACGGGTTCATTTTTTTCAGTACTCGCATTTCAGCTGCAGACAATACCCACAATGGTACACCTGCTACCCCCTAGTATAAATTTGCTGCACAGGTTCTGGTGCCGAAACCAAGAGAGGTTTATTTAAGCAACTGATGCACCTATTCATTTCCTGTTACACTGCGCAGTTTAACAGAAGACCAGCGTTGCGATTAAACATGGCAAGGTTTTTTTTTTAAACTGACCTGCGGCTCTCAGCGGAGGCCTCCCTGACAGTTTCTCAAATTTATTCAGCTGGTCCAGGCAACGGCTATTTTCGGCACCTTCTGTCGCTGACATGTTCAAAAATAATAATAAAAAAATTACTCAGCCTGCCTGCGTCTGAACACGAATGTCAAAAACACCACAAACCCTTTGCAGTGCTGGTTTGGCACCAAACACACTACAACAACTCAGCCCCTTTCGCCGACAAAACCCCACACCACTCCACAGCGGTCTTAAATACAGAGAGCCAATCAGGGCGCTCCTTGTTGCGACGTCGGGACAGGGGAGCTGGAGGGGGTGTATGGTACCTTGGCAGCGATAAAAAAAAACTCTTCGGGATGGATAGATGGTGGTCATTCGTTATAGATTACCCAATGAAGGTGTTTTTTCCCCCGTGTTAACGTGGAATGAGCTGGGGGCAGGTTTTGTGCCATAATTCGCCATGCACTATTTTTATTTGATGAGTCGCAATAATTATCCAAACTCTTGAGGTGACGGTCTTTTATCTTGAACATCTACAATAGAAAAGCCACCTACATCTATCTAGTCTGCACGGCCTGTAACCCGTTTAGTAACAGAACATAACGTGTGCCTTTAAATAATTTACAGTAGATACACACCACAATGATGTACGAAACACAAACTAGATGTATGGAAAAGTGTCTCGGAAACAGCCTGATATATAGCTGGTATTTAAGTCCAAACCCAGTCTTCTCTGTACTTCGCAGGCGGAACGTTCATACCTCGGCGGTATTTGTGTTTCGACGGAAGTGAGTGAGGGGCGCACTCCAACATGGCAGCGCTCAGCGGCGGTGGAGATGGTGCTGAAAGCTCTTCGGGAAAACTAAAATCTCCGCAAGTAACTCCCCAGAAAGTTCGCGAATTACTGAATGACGGAATTGCTTTGGAAGATAACAGATTGGATAGGTGAGTTAAATGTTTTTCTGTTGCTTTAATTTTGTTTGACTGGAAAAACAGTGTGGAAGGCCTCTCAATGAATGTAGTCCAGGCAGAACTGCACCATCTCGGGTCTCGATTTCCAGAGGCCTGGAATTTAATCCAGGTGATTCGTGATACTGTTATGTGTAGTTTGGACGGCGTAGGTGCTAGATGTGAAACTCAGATGAGGTCTATTTTTAGCAGTTGTAATGCAAAACGTGCACATATTTAAAAATATGACCAATCTCAAAGTGTCCTTATTGCTTTTGTAGTTCAGAAACAATACATTTAAATAGTATGATATGGTAGAAATAACTTGATACGGTGGAGTGCACAGCCTAGAGCTAGACGTCATATTGAATGTATTTCAAGTAGGTAGCTCCGTCAGCAAGCGTAGGCTGCAAAGGAACAAATAAAGATGTATTAAACAACGTTTCGGCTGTGGAGCCTTCTTCAGGCGTTTTGTCTCTTTTCCTTTCAGCATGGAATAAACCTTTACCTGTTATATTGAACGTACATTAAGCAGCTCCAGTTGTTAAATGTATTATAGAAATGAAAACCCTTTTAGCTTGGCATGCTCATTATACTGTAGCCACAAGAGCTCATGCAATGAAGAAACACCAAGTCTTCATTTTGTCTTTCATTTATTGGGCATTCTCTGGTTACAAATGGAAAATGAAATGCAAACTCCACACGGAATATGGTACCATATGGTGAAGCATCAGGTCTCTCAATGCATGCAGGTGGAAACTAGTATTTCCATTGTATTTCCTCTTCTAAATGCAAAGAAAACACTGGAAACAATGTCAACAACTAGCAAAGAAAACTGTAAGGACAATTTTATTTACAATCTCCAATACAAGAATGTTAGTTGGATCCTATCCCCAATATGAAGAAAAAGATTTCAGAGCCCTTGTGTTCCCTTGAAAAAGTTTGTTATACTATAGAAATGGCATATTCCTCTTTTTATGTTTTAAAACAGTCTACATTCATAATAAAAATGAGAAACTTCACTTTTTCTGTTCTGTTGCTGCAGGACTATGTTCTCTCAGCCCATAACAAATCTTACAAGTCAGTTAACACTTTCAAATCCTAAATATACTCTAGATATTAATTCTATTTAATTTACTCTTTCTGGATGTGGGTACCTGTTTCTCTTAGATTATTGCACAAGGGGGCTATATAAATTAGATGGATGTCTATTAATATTATTATTTGAGCTGTAAGCTGCTGAAATGATTTATTTAACTTCTTGATGTTTTTGACTCTGAACCACAATCTCTCAAAGTCAGATGTCTAAAGATCCCAGTTATATGCTGAGAAAAATAAAATAATTGACTTCTCTGTATGTAAATTCACACCTGACTTTGCGTTTCAGTGAGGAGCAGGTGGTGGAACCAGAAGCTCCAAATGGCATCACCCACCTTCCATGTGAGGCCACGAGCAAAGAAGGATTTTTCTCAAGAGTGGAGACGTATACGATATCCTTCATGTGCATTTTGTAATCTACGCTGCACATCCTTTTGGAGAATAAACTGAAGTATTCTTAATGTTCAACCTCACTTTGCCTGAATAACGTATCCTGTGCTAGAATGATTTGTTAATCACAAATCGTAAGTCAAAAATAGCAGGTAATGTGGTTATGAAATTGACTATACATGATATTTACACAGCAATAGGCCTTAGTACAAAAATGTATAGACATTGTACTCTCAGACAAATCAACCATTTTAAATGAACTTCAGACGTATTAGAGTACTTTTTATTTCATTTTTGCCTTTTGGTATCTGCAGCATATTTTGCCATTTGTATTTCTTAACTGCGTGTACTCTTTGAAATGGGCTGGAAAGCCTCATGATCTTTCCCCCTTGAGGTGTGCAAGGTATGGTTGGACCAATGTCGAATGTGACATGCTGAAATGTCCAAGCTGCCAGGCATTCCTCTGCGCATCTCTGCAACCCACACAGGATCTTCAGAAATGTAAGGTTTTCCTTTGTTTCAAGAATATACCTGTTGCAAGTATAGGAAATTAAGATTGCTCATGGACAAAACTGTAAATAAAAGCAAGAGAAAGAAATTGTATTGAAACTGAGATCAAGTCAATATCATCCCATTTGTGTTTTAAATAGACTTCTATGAAGCTGTCTTCTGTTGTTAGCCTTTTTCAAAGATCATGGTGGACAATACAATGTGATGTTCATTTTCATAAACTGATCGCTATTTTTAAGTAATATTTCCTTTTAGTCAGTTGTGATATCTCACATTTTGTTTACTATTTTTTGTTTCTTGTAGATAAAGAACGAATATCAGAGCTAAAGAAATCTTTACAAATGCACCATGAAAAGTTTTGCTTTTGGCCTGACTTTCCAAGCCCAGGTAAAGGGATTTGTTAATTGATTCACTGTTCCTGTATCTTAGTCTGTTTGTATCATAGACATCTATATCATGTTTTAGTCATTCAAGGCAAATTAAGTAAATATTAATTTCCTTAACATCTTTTTAATAACAAATCTGATTTTTTCAAATGGTTTGCATTTTTCAATTCTTAAGTGTTAATATTGTTCCTGTTTTTGACAGTTATCCTGCATTTTACTTTCAATCTTCACATTTAAATGGTTCTTTGTGTGCTTAAAAACTATGGTATCAGCATGAATGCATTTTATATTGGGGGGGGGGAGAAGGAGTTTATATTCTTTCTCCATGTTTACATGGGTTACCTTTGACAGTGCAAAAACATACTTGTAGGAGAATTGTCCCTGGTGTGAGTGTTTGTGTCTGCGTGCCCTGTGATGAGCTGGTGTTCTGCCCAGGGTGTACCTGTTAAAGTAATTGACTCAGTCCCATGTTTTTGGAGAAGAAACAACATAATGTCTGTGAGAAACATCAGGTAGTAACATAATGTGTTGCCAGGCAATACACTTACTTTATTTTGTTTGCACTAATGCTTATTAAAATAACTTTGTTTTCCACCCATGCTGACTAATGTCTTCAGTCTAAATCAGCAAGGGAGTTTTGAAACCCCCTCTGGCATTTACAGATTAACAGAAGCACTGTGAATTGCATGTATTGATTGCTTTTTGTAATAAAATCTATGTGATATAATGGAACACAAGTAGTTAAAATGAGTATTTAGTTATTACACAGCTGATGGCCTGTTTAATAATGTTTCTGCGTTAGATCGGTTTTGGACCCTACCGATCAGTGAGCCTGCAGTGCTGTTCAGGGCCTTTCTGGACCGATTCAAGAGCGCATGTCTGCTGGAGCTACAGCTACCATCCATGAAGCCTGACGATCTCAAAAACATGGTGAGTTTCCTTCTCTTTGTTTACGAAGCTGAAATAAATGGAAAGATTTCACAAACAAAATAGGTTTGGCTGGCTCACTCTTGCTTTGAAAAAAATGTATGCAACACTTTAGGGTCTAGAAGCACACAACCGCAATCGGATGTGTTGGATTCCTTCTGCATCTAGCATCCAGCCTCAGTGCACTGTCCAAATAATTCATGAACCCGTGGGCCTGAGTTATTTTCTAGGTACAGTCTTCATAAATTTGTTGTTTTAAAAACAGCCTGTTTTCCATCAGGTAGTGATACCAAAATGAATTGATGAGCAGAATGTCTATAGAATTCTTCAGAAACTGAATGATATGCATAAAGGAGCCTTTACAAAAGAGCACCTAAAATGCAAGACTTGTACTATACATTTAATAAAATGAGATCTTTTCCTTTTTTTTTAACAGTTTGTATGTTCTACTCATATCCCATTTCCTACCTATGTTGTTGCAGAAAGAAAAAAAGTAAATTTCACTTCCCCTTCACACATAACAAACAGTTTGTATTGATGAGATGTTGGTTCTTTCTAGTCTCTAACAGAAGATGCAGTCGGTGATCTCCTGCAGCTGATTGAGGACGAGGTGAAGAAGGAGGGGGGGTCCCCTCTCAAGATGAGCACAGATCCCCTCCCTGTACAGGTGGCAGCCTGCATTGTGGCCCTCTGTGGCTGGGCAGCAAGGTAAGAGGAATCGAGAGACACGCTTTGAAGTTAAAATCATGTTTTTGGCTTTGTGGTGGAGACTGAGTGACAGAAATGTGGGAATAAGTGCTGTTAGTATCAAAATCTAAAATGAGAAGAAAAATGACTTTGTTTTGTAAAGTTCCGTTTTACAGTATTAAGAGAAATAAAAACATCCCAGTGGTGTTCCTAATATATTTCCCACACATCATTCTGTAGTGTTATTGAATGATTCTCTGTTTGTGGAATCTGATGGTAAAACAACAGGATTGATTGGCAAATCAAGGAAAAGGGAAATAAAGTTGTTTTCAAACAATAATACTCTTGAGAAACTTTGTAAGCCAAGTAGGGAATTAGCGGTGTGCCCTTTCAAATGGTACTGTGTCCTCACAGTGTGTTTCTGCTCCTGCAGTCCAGCTCTTGACTCCCTGCACCTCCCAGTGCTCGCCTGCTCCTACTGTATGCGCAAGGTGGGGCTGTGGGGTTTCCAGCAGATTGAGGGGGTGGCCTGTGAAGGGGACAGCTCTCTTAGCATGACCTCAACCCCTGTGTCCAGCCATGATGGTCGAGGGGACAGACTGACGCCCACCTCCACCTCCCCTTGTAGGATGGTACTGCGCAGCCAGGACGCCACGCGGTCACATGTCTCTGAGCACGTACGCTTCTGACACTGACTTCATTCCTTCCTCTGTTTAAAATGGATGAGTATGATTTTCAATTAAGGCGTATGCACCACCAGTCAGTGCTTTTCTTTACAAATGAATAAAGCAGAGGCCTCAATCTCAATGTCTGCAGGCTCTAGCGTCTACTGATTTTTAAGTCACTCAGAAAATCATTTCTAATAGATCTAATCAGAGTGGCAAGCTGCATCAACACAACACAAGATGACTCCACAACCCTGAAACATTGTTTTTTACATTGTCAGACAGGAGTGAATCTCTAATTATTTGATTACCTCCTTGAAATACTTTTAATCAGGCTTGGAAGTGTTTTATAACTTCAACTGGAAGATTTGAATAAGCATCTGCAAAAACCTGTTAGGAAAAGAACAGTCTTAGTATGGAACTAATGAGGTTCATTGTTTAATTGATTTTTCAAGTTGAACCAGAAACCAGAAGACACTTTGACCTTCGAACTTTGAGTCGAGACAGTTCTAAAGACTGTTTTTTATATGTGACCTAGTTGCTACCTTAAGTATTAGGTTTCTTCTTCCACATCTGCACCCAAGCTTGTCTGTTTTCTCTGCACCCCTGTGGTTTTCACTGGTCTTTACATTGTGATTGCAGACTGACAGCAGCCCGTCTCCGCTGGTTTTCCGAACCCGCAGCCGGGACTCGCCCAGCCCCAGCGAGGACTCTCCCAGCCCCCTGGCGAGGGGCAAGAGGCCGGTGACCCGCAGCCGAGGTCAGGGAGAGGCAGGCCTAGTGGGCGGCGAGGTGCCCTCCAGCCCCCAGCGGAGAGCCAAGCGCTCACGCCTGTCCTCTGCTAGCAGCACGGTAAGGACAGTCGAAGTGCCATGCAGTGTTTCAGGCTGCACTAGTGGCCTTTCTGACGTAGGTGAAACTAAGTACTGCTCTACGCTGTTTAGGACACCACCACCAGCAGGAGTGTGTTTAACCCTGTTGCCCAGCACAGGGACTGGTGTCCCTGGGTCAGTGTGGCAGAAGTGGAAACTGGGAGGGACCCCGAGTCCTCTGATGAGCCACCCTCGAAACCGCAAAGCCCAGACATCCCCCAGCCAGGCTGGAAAGCAGCCCTGGACACTTTTCTGGCCATGAAGAAATCCGCCAACCCGCAGGAGACTTGTACCTCGCAGGTATGATGATCAGTTTAAAGCTAAAGACTGCGAGAGCGACTCCAGTGATAACAACACTCACATCTTAATAGGTGAATTTATTGTGTTTCTGAAAGCACAAAATCATCAAATTAGAACTGCCACTGAGGAATATATATACTTATAGCCTAGACATGTTTTACAGTGTTTTAACTGCATAGAAAGTATTTCTTATTTAGCCAAGGATATCGCAAGGATATGTGTTTCATTATTTGGTGGACATGGAGGGTATTGTTTTGTTATGCAATGATTTTTCACCAGTTTGTTCTGAATCCGTTAACATTACCTTTAAAGGCAGTACAGTTTGTAACCCTCCCTTTTTTGGTGTTCTCTAGGGTCTCCATGACAAATCAAAGAGGGTTTTTAAGATATTCCGGCAATGGCAAGTGTCTTCTTCCCAGTAGATTCCCAAGACGGAGGACAGTGGTACTTGATGTTGGTTTACTTTTTCTTCAACCTTTGTGGTCTTTTCAACTGGGAAGTTAGAGGTCTGCCTTTGATAGTAGACTGTGTAATTTTGATAGCATTTTTTTTTCTGCAGTCAGGAAAACCTTTACTTGTCCTGTGAGGAGTGCTTTTTCCATGGCAAAACACATGAGCCTCGTTAATCTTTCTCCTAGAGAGAAGGGATGTAAGAAGCAAGTTGTAGCAGTCATGTTTATCTCTCACTCACCAGTAGCTTTTGGTCGTACAGTCACTTCTTGCCAGAGAGATTTGTTACTGTTTACACAAGAAAACAGCTGACTTTGCCTTGAAAGATGGCTGGTTTTTGTCCAGCCCTTCATGCATGCGTTCTATGAAAACATCTAGTCTGTTAACTTACTATAGTGATGACTCTAAACAGCACTCCACAGATAATCAGGGGACACTTTCTTGTTCTACCATCACTAAGCAGTTTCATGTATTGTTTTAGCTTAAAACATTGAAAGAAATAAACTACCCTGAAACTGGATCTCAGTGTTCAGTAACCATGAAACTAAACATTAGTTTAAACTTTCACATTAAAGGGAAGACTTTATTATCTTAAGATCCACATCAAAGGTATCTGTAAACTAAGTTTTGAATTGTTAATATCATCATTCAGATACTAATGTGCCATGAAGATAAATCTTTTATAGAGGCTTGTGTAAGTTAACAGTTTAAAAATTACATTCCAAATGATATGGATTTCTATGTAAGTGCTGTTTTGTTGTAATGGTAGTTCTTATGCAGATGTGCATTTATCATACCTATTCTTTTTAAAAAGAATAGGAAGAAATAAGTTTTGATGAGTCCCAACAAGACACAGTCTAATATTCTGAACAATCATTTAAAATGTGGTTTCAACAGAGGTTATTGAATGTCTGGAAAATGTAGTTTCTGTTTTCCATGCTTGGTAATAAAAAGATATGTTGAAATCCAAATTAAAAGGTTAGTATACTGAAGTTTCTGTGTTTTTATTTGTTTTTTCCATGACAAAGGGAATGGGTATCCTGATTTGGACTTTAAAATACTGTCTTAAACTTGTATTAACTTTGTACAAAATGCTGTTTAGGGGTATTTGTGGTATATTGCACATTTCAATTTGAGTTACCTTACATCCTCAGATGTTTTTGTGTAGAAGACCACGTTTACCTATGAATCTTCAAAAGTGTGGTATGCACTTGGTGCAAGGAACTAAAACTTTTTTTTTTGCCAAAACTTCTTGTGTGATTATGCATCAGTGGTGCTTAATGCTTTTAGTAACTGGAAGGTTGTGGGTTCAAATCCAGGGGCGGCAACATCACGTCTCCCCTGAAGCAAGCTACTGTACTTCATCAGGATGCTGCAGTGAAGTGCCCAGTTGTATGAATACATACAAATGCAAGGTGCTTTGCATAAAAGCATCATTCTAATTATTTAATAATGATAGTTAATCAAACCCCTTAAAAAAAAAACAACAGCTCTGTCCTAGCCAATGTGAATATTACATTGACTAACACATGTAAAGTGTGAATGTTAATATTGATTTGTGACTAGTCTGTCATGTTGGTGATGGTCCTTTCATGTTTTAAAGGTAAGTGTACGTACAAGGTTAAACACAACTTTAATCCGGATTAATAAAATCAAATGCATTAAATTTATTTATGTCTGCTATACCAAAAATTACTCTTGCATTCAGGAAGAATCTCATAATTTGGTCTTTTGTGGCAGTATTTTTTAAAGGAGAACAGATAATGATTTTTTCATTTAGAAAAAGCTAATGAAGTTAAAATTGATGACATTAAAATGACTGACATTCAGACTTGGAAAATATTCTGCCCCAGTGCTAAAACTGCTAAATTTTAAACATTTTTAAAATTAGATTCAAAATGCACTCAAAAGAATCCTGTTCTGAAATATTTCTGCAAACATACTTCTTTGTCTTCGTCTCCCTGCTTACATTTGCTGAAAGTGCCTTCAGTGTATTACAGAGGCAGCTGCTGTGTGGTAGTCCTGACTCCTGACCGAGGGATGACCTTTCACCCACTTCTGTGGTATATAAGATCGTCTCATTGAAACTAATTACCAAAAATAAGTGTTTAATTAAGAGACAGATCTGTGGATTGTTTACAAAAACAAGCTGAAAACATGCCATTCCACCTTAAATATACTTATGAACAGTATATATTAAGTGGAATACATTTACGTTGCTGCTGAATTTAATTCTGCTTTTTTCAGGTGTTTAAAATCCCTAGTTTGGATGAAGTGTCTCTTGTATAAATGCTGGGGAAACAAGAAATAATTTACATTGTTGTGTACACAGAGCTATAGTTTTAAATCTAATTTAGAGAAGAATTTCAGAGCAAACCAAACTTTGTTGCCCAAATGTTTTCTAAATCTTAATGCAAATAATGTATACAATTAAAAGTAGTATCATTACTGTCGAAGATAATAGTTACAAGTAATAGGCTTATTCCATGTTGAAAAGAGAAGAAAGAAAGCACAACGTTCCGGCTGTGAAGCCACCTGAAGAAGGCTCCACGGTCGAAACGTTGTTTTCTTTCTTCTCTTTACAGCATGGAATAAACCTATGACTTGTTCTTTTGCAGCCTACGCATGCTGACGCAGCTACCCACCTGAACTACAAAGATAATAGTTATCTACCTTTTAAAAAGGATCCAACATTTGAGCGGAATAAGAATAAAAGTTGTATTTGAAGCAAAAGCATTTGAATTTTCCTTTTTATTGCCATTTAATTATTCTTGGTAGCATTGGACACCCTATAAACTGTACATTTTATTATATTTTTGTTTTCTAGACGCCTTTGTCCAGGCAACTAACAGACTGGAGAATTTGTGTTTGCATACAAAGCGCAATCATGTTGTAGAGCTGGGGTATATTAAGGTACAACTAATTAACAAAAGGACAGAGGTAAGCAAACACTGGATGAGTAACTGTGAAAACGGATGAAGTTGTGTTCACAATCTGCATCTGGCTTTTTTACAACAGGATTGTGAACACTTTGCTGGTATGTGTAGCTTGTCTACATTAAATGAGATTAGAAAATGACCAGTGTGAGAATTAAAGGCGTGATGAGTGCAGTACAGAGTAAGAGCTGTTCAACGATGTAACCGAGCGCAGAGAGATCGCCGCTCTGTCTGAGCAGTAGGGGCTTGAGCCTGTGCCGAGAAGGTGGTCACCGTTTCCCTGGGAAGTTCACGCGGAGCGAGGGTGGAGCAGGAAAGGGCCTGAAAGTATGAGTGGTACAGTTTGGAGCTGGAGTGGAGAGGGGGAAGGGAGAGAGAAGTGACTGAAGATGGGAAGAAGCAGAGGGCTTGAGACAGCAGGAGGCTAGAGCTACGTCGGAGACCTAGAGCAGAAAAAAAAGACAAAGTGAGCAGCAGGACTGAGTTGATGACTTAGACTGTGCTGGCAGGGAGGCCAACCAGCAGGGAGATACAACAGTCTAGGCAGGGCTAGGAGATGTGTAGGACTGGTAAGGCAGGGGGATTCTGAACATGCTAGCTCAAGAAGAAACGATTGGAACGTGCCAGAGATGAAATTCACTGGGAGCAGTAGAGAGAAGGAGGTGGAGTGATGATGGCGAGGCCCACAGAGAATAGAAGAATAGAAAGGGAAAAAAGGCAGACTTTAGATAACAGGAGTACATCCAGGAGTGTATATAGATTTGAGACCAGTGATATGCAGGAGAAACGCACAATCACAATGTGAGAAAAGGGAAGGAAGATCCGAGATCAATTAAGGGATTTGATAGGTGCTCCCAAATTGTCTTTAGCACTTTTTAAGATTGTTTCTCAATACATTTTTTTTAAAATAAAAACCGAGCTGCTAACCAAATGAGCAACATTGGCCATCCCAATCTGCTCTTACGTCAAGAACAAATAAAGCTAACTAGATGGATAAATAGGTTCCCTGTGGATGGAAAGAGAGAATGTAGAGATTGCCAGCTATATGGATAAAGTCCAAGATAAAAGTCCAAGATGGACTTTTGAAATTGTTTCCTTAGGCAATTTGACTAGATCTGTTTTTTATGTACTCTGGTTTATTTTACAGTGACCAGAAATGCATAGGGTCATGGTTATTTTTATATAATGATAATGTAATGTTTCTTTATTAGCCCTATACAATTTCTTGCATTAGGAATTCGTCTTTTCGCATGAACTGGCAACCTTCCAGTCACAGGTGCAGATCCTTAACCACAGAGCCACCGCTCTGCCCATGGTTTAATGGTTTTGCTCTGTCATAACCTGTATTGTAAAGCCACACCTTTGTAATTTGGGGGATCTTTGTCTTAAGTGTCTCATGTGTCTCTAGATTCTAACTTCTCAGAGTGGCCAGAACAATTCCTCTGGGTGTGTATTGGGATGTTTGTACCACAAACATTAATGTCTTTTGATGGCTGTTTTTATACAGCTTTAGGAAGCATGCCCTACCCTTCTAATCCTGAATAACAGGATGTTGCCCACTGGTGAAGTCTACATTTCACCCTCAAGTAATATTTAATGCATTGGTTAAAATAATCCCCAAAACACTGGAAAAAACTGATTTTTGCACTAGATGTAAACACCTCTACTTGAAGCTGTTGTTTAAAGCTCTATATAAATCCCCCACCTCATTGCCCAGTGCTTTTTGTCCTTCTGTTACTGTCACAAAACAAGAAGTCTTAATTCTAGTGTTAGTGGTAAAACTGTAAGAAATCCCAGACAGATTTCACTTGGTGTTTAGTTAAACATGGTTATTGGAATTATATCATATTCAAGTGCACTTGAATATGAGTGAAAACACTCATTTCCCTTTTTTTGTGGACAGCAGCCAGTGAAAATTGCAAATAAACAGCAAATGCATTGAGGCGGCTATTGGAGGAAGATCTGGAGGAAATTTTAATAGCAACAGTTTCCACTAGACATGGGAGTTACTCACAAGTAGCATCAGTAGAATGACTGATTTCCCAAGGCTTCCAGAAAAGCAGTCCAGCGCTGCGCAATGTGCTGAGCTCTAAAAGCTCAGACTGCTGTGAAGGATCATTATCAAAGGTCACCCAAGGAAAGGCCATAAAGAATTCATTATAGTACCAGTGGCATGTTTCCTTGCAGGGGACTGCCAACTTCTGATACTGTGTAATTACACTTAGAGCCAGACCAGACTGCACCTACAGCATATTCAAATGACTCCCATAATCAGGTTAGGCTGCTGAGTGGAAGGTACTTGTTTTGTGAAGCTGAGGCGGGGGAAGTGGGAATTCCCGGTGGAAGGGGATAAGATGGATAAGATCACTTTATTGGCCATACAAGTTCTTGTACTAGGAATTTGTCTTTTCGCATACCCCAACTTGCTCTCCATGAGACACAGACAGGGAGAGAAGCTTGGGGTCAGAGCACAGGGTCAGCCATTTATATGGCGCCCCTGGAGCAGTTGGGGTTAAGGGCCTTGCTCAGGGGCCCCACAGAGTAGGATTCAAACCGGCAACCTTCCAGCCACAGGCACATATCCTTAGCCATAGAGCCACCGCACCGTCCAGATAGGGGTGGGGTGTGGGGCTTGAGCAACTCTGAGGCTCCAAATCACGGCAGCAGTGTGAACTCCAGCTTTGAAGCCAAGTGCTCAGGGGAACAAAATCACTGAGCTGATGCATATTATAGGTCTTTAGACAAAGAAATGGGAAAACTGAATATATGTCTTGATGAAACCACTAGATCTTGAAATGTGAAAGATAAGGAAGGGTTGCTCATGGGCAAAACATGGTTTTCTTATCAGGTTTTTGTTTCCTTGAATAATGATCCATATTCACTCTTTGGTTGAGGAGGCAACATGTTGGATAGAAGGAGTCTCTGAGGTTTTAAATACAGAACTTTTTCAATTTCAAAGCATAGAGGCCAGAAAATATAGATGTGTTTCTATTCCAAAAGGGATTTGTGGAAACCCTGAGGTAGTCATCGCAACGCCTGATAACATGCGGTATACA